TCGAATGCCCAGGTTGACCATCAGCTGTCGTGAACCATACGTAGGAATAACAGAGCCATTCGCACCGCGTCGTAGCTTGAGACTTGCTGCTACCAAGTGGCACAACAGAAACCTAGGCACCTACGTCAACGAGGCATCTACTGTAAGTGCAAATATCGTTCACGTAAAATAGGCGGCCAACCTGACGTGCGGGGCCGACGAATACGGCCGCGTTTACTTGTCAGCTTGGACGTTTACCGCCTTGTATGAGCACGGTGCTCGGCAATTACGGGCGCCAGACCTAAAAGTCTGGTGAAATTTAGCATCAACCGGTTCTCCCTTCAAAAGCCGCCTTTTGGCTTGGCTTGGAAAATGCCAGCCGTGGGCGAGTACTTGCAGTCGTACTTGATCGAGGGCGAGCTCGTGGTACGTGGTCAGTCAGATGAAACGTAGAACTTTGTACGTAAGTACATCAGTTCATGTTGCCATACCACATCAGCACAGAGATATAATTGTCGATTCAAATCCAATAGTAGAAGAGGTAGTAACGGTATTAGGAGTAAGGGGAATTAGAAGTAATCGGAGAGGTTAGGATTAGAAGATACTATTCAAGAAGTATGATTCAGTGAGAAAAGTTTAGAGAGTCGAAACTAGAGGTGTTGAAGAATCCAGAAGATTAGGGTTTGAGAGAACACAAAGAATAAATGCACTGGCGCCATTGCGAACGATTTTGAGCCATGTCATTCGGGTCTCTAATCATCGATTACTATCGTCTCGCGGACCCCAACCAGGTAGTCGACAATTACCGACATGGCTAAGTTCACTAGTCAATGACTTCATGGATTTCTGCCATGTTTTGGTTTGGCCGCCCCTAACATTCTTCCAACCTATTCCTACACTACAAAACAAAGCTCGACGAGGCAGTCGGTTTTCCGGCATACGCAAGACATGTCCCAACCACCTCAACTGATGAAGTTTCACCACTTCATCTATTGATCTGCCATACGAGCAATGCTTCTAAGACACCTATGATCGAAAACCAGTAACCTACGAATATCTTATACTCTCAGTGGCCATGTTTCACAGCCATATAAGAGAACGGAGCGAACTGCTGCACAGTAAACTCGTCCTTTAGTCAGCAAACGGATATCTCGCCTTCGCCATAGGTGACGCAGGTTGAACAATCGAGCCTTCTGTATCCGAGATGAGATTTCGTCATTCATCAGGCCATCGTCGCTGATGAGACTCCCAAGATAAGTGAAGCGGTCTACACGTTCGACCACTTCACTCCCCATCACTAGTTCAGGTGCCGATGCAACCCAATCTTGAAGCAACATTTTGCATTTCGAGGGGGAAAACCGCATCCCGAACATGCTTGCATTGTTGCTTAGGGTAGTCAGAAGACTGCATTTTGTCAGCGTCTTCACCAAGTAGGACTATGTCATCGGCATATTCTAGATCTGTAAGCGACTTTCCTGGTAGAAGGTCTACTCCTGAAAATTCAGACGAGGATAAGGTTATTTCTAGGAGCATGTCTATGATAAAATTAAACAAGAATGTGTGTCTATCTTCCAGGACCTGTCGTAGTGTGAAAATGTGGTCTATACAACCACGTCCAGGTCGAAAACCAGCCTGGTTTTCTCGAGTCTGCTCTTCACGAGCTTTCGTTAAGCGTCGAAGTATTACTGAGTCCAATATTTTAGATACTATATTAGTTAGACTTATTCCACTGTGATTGTCACAAGAAGACTTCTGTCCTTTCTTATAGATTGAGACAATCAAGGATTGAGACCAGTCGGATGGGATGGCGTCCAGTTCCCAGATTCTACCTAAGATCTCAGTCAACCTAGCTGCTAAAACTGGACCACCATCCTTAAATATCTCAGGGGTCAGTCTATCAGGACCCGCAGCGCGCCCTCGTTTCAGATTCCCTAACGCTTTTTCAACTTCATTAAGACTAGGGGGACTTACGTCGATTTGCCATTCAGGATGACTGGAGATCGTGGATAACCGAAAAGTGGCTCGTGGCCAGTTGAACTGATCCCTAAAGTGTTCTGCCCATCGATCCAGTCTCCTGGATTGAGAATGGATAATAAGACCATCCTTTTCCGAGATAGTCTCACTCACATTCGGGTTCCTAATACCGGTTTCTTTAATAAGGCGGAAAAGTTGTCTAGTGTTGCCTATCGCCGCTGCCTTTTCCATCGCTTTTGCTTTCGCCACCCACCACTGTTCGCGGTCGTTACGCAGACTTTTTATAAGTCTGCGCCTAAGCTGACTACGCTCTTCATCATGCTCAGAGTCAGGTGGGATGAGTTTTCGAGCATCCATCAGTTCGGTGGATGCGACTGAAATCCACTGCTTCATCCTAGCCTCATGGTTTACCTTACTAGCAGATATCATTACTGTTTCCACAGCCTTTTTGATATCATACCAACCTGCTTCTGGATGGGAATCACTTACATCGTTGCTTAACTCTCTTTCTAGTCGCTCCTGAAATATTTTCTTGGTTTGATCATCATTAAGTAAAACCCTAAGAGGCTTTCTTACGGTGTCTTTCCTACACCCAGTAAGCCTTAAACAGATACGAGCTCGCACTAGAGCATGATCTGAATCCAAACATGTGCCCCAGAACGATTTCGGGGGTCGCCAGATGCTTCTCCTTGTGACTAAAGTTGGTGTTCGCTAAGAATAGGCGTTTGTCTGAGCATACTTGCAACAGACGGTCACCATTGTCTGTTCTCTGAGCCGCAACACCATAACATCCACCAAGGTATCTTTCCTTCTCACTCAGTCAACTTGCTTGAGCTTCAAGTCACCCACCACTATTACTACATCAGAGCGCCTAACATTATGATGGAGATCCGAAAGCTTCCTATAAAACTTATCTTTCACCTCGTCTGAACTGCAGTCAGTGGGGGCATAGGCAGATACGACGAAGAGGCGACGGCGAGTGTCCCTATCTTTCCGAATCCTTACTGTCCCGTTCAGTCGGACAGCGCACAAGCGACTATCTACTGGGATCCAGTCTAGGAGAGATAATTCTGCCCTAGGACTCAACGCTATGCCTACGCCAGCAAGACACCTGGAAGCAGCATCAGGGCTACCGGATACACGAAGAGTGAATCGGGCTGCTTCTTCGTTTTGACAAGGTGGAATCAGGGTAATGACTTTACTAGGATCCTGTATGCGCGTTTCCGAGACGCAGCATACATCGATGGCACGAGTTTCTAAAGTCCTAGCTAATGATGCCTGTTGCCCTATTTGACACAATGTCCGTATATTAAAAGCTCCAATATGTAGTCTAGAACGGGGTTCCAAGAGACCAGGAACGACGTTTCGTGAACTCGCTTCGTCTGCATTAGCGGTGCAGTGAGAAAAGGGAGTGTGAGTAGAGTTAGTCGTAGAGATAAGAGATACATTAGGGGGTGTAGGAAGGATTTGATTTTGACCGATTTGGTCTCGTGTGTTGTTACGGGTATGAGGGCGGTTGTCACTTCCCGGCTGTCCACACCGTGGAAGGTTGTTTCTTGACGAACCTGAAAAGGAAGATGGATTAGTGTTGGTGCGTGACCGCAGAGTCCAAGGGACAACTGCTTGAGGCCGGTCACGCACGGCCTTTTTATGAGAGGTATTTAGAGGATTAGCTCCGTTCTTAAAGGCCCTTAGTGGGCACCCTTACCCAAGGAGACGGAAATCCGTGAGTTAGGGGAGGTGTGACATTTTTAGGGCCGACCTTTTCTAACCCTTCCTCCCTTGTGAGAAGGCAGCATCGCTGCAGATGCTGGTTGTCCGAGGGAAACACCTTACTGCTGTCACACCCCTCTGCAGTCAGCAGTACGACTTCGCCCTCAGACCTTGGGTAGCTGCTTTTAGTCTCATCGTTCTCCAATCGACCAGCCTGGCATGGTAGAACCTGCAGGAACATGTGTTCCAGCCAGTATAGCTCGGTTGGGTCATCACGATAGGCAAGCCCGACCACCACGTCAAGGTAGCAGCTTCGGTCGGGGATATCTCCCGTGATAAATCACCTTTCGAGATCGTATAACGGCAAAGCGTAATAATTCTGTTAAACATCTAACAGTAACCTGGCGCAGAGTGATAAGCCGCTACAATAGAATAAATTGCCAAGTTATCAAAATTTAACCTTCTAGGTTGATGTATTGCTGTGTGGTTTTAAAATTATCATTAGTTCTTCGTCTTCTGCTCCATTCAAGACAACGGAGTGAACTGAGTAAATACCAGGAGTTTATAATTTAACCCATTCAATAGGCACCTGAATATGCGTCACACTAAAAGAATGGTACTACCAGGTTTTCCAAACTGATTGGCAGGAGCAGGGTTCGGGCTCGAGGCATGGTGACTGAAAAACAAATGCTCCGACCACCAAGCCACTGCCACTTTAACATCAGTGTTATAAACTAGTGAATCTTCGTAATATTTTCACTACTTGAGAAATAACACCTAAACATGGCTGTGTGTCCAAAACGGTCTTGTCAAACCAGGATACAACTAACGAGAAACGGAAGTAACTAAGTTTACATAAAATGAGTAGAATGCGGCTAGCAGTGGAATACAGGACGCGCGTTCCAATCTGTTTGGGATTCGTCAGCTGGAAGGATCCGCATCCCACACCAAATTTCGTTCGAAGTATCAACAACAAGATAATCTAAACTACTTCAAATTTAATTAGAACTAAGTTTTAGTGAGTCATTTAAAGACAATTAATTTGTGACTAGCTAATAGTTTGAGCGCTTGCCTTCAAATGATGCTCTCGCTAGTTCGTTTTGAACGATCGAGTAGTATTTCCAAATTGAATATAACAAATACATGTACCTATATCTATTTGTCAAGTTTCCTTATTAATTTCCATAAGAAATTACTTGCTCGTAAACGTAGTTACTTCCTTTGATTTCGTTGGTCATATTGTACAACGGAAAGTATATCTTGACAATTAAAAGCATGAAATTAACTAGAACACGTGTCTAGCAAAAATACTTTTATTTTAGATTTTAGTAGATGTTTATGTACAATAAAACACAAAATAAGAAAGTAGCCAGTTTCACATTTCAAATCATAATAATTTCAGTAAGTAACCATAAAGGTAGTTATTATACCTGTTGGTTGAATGCTCTCAAAACTTTTTGACGAATATTAAAATTCACTGAAGAACTCAACATTTTCTTTCCCGATAAAATGAAAAGAAATCCAGCCAAACTGATAGACATGGCAATAACATAATGACTAATACTAATCCCTATATCTAACCAACTACCTTCATCTTTCAACCATACGAAAAAATGGATAGCTATAAAGTTAGATAGTACTGCAGTCAAACCAGTTTGCATTAAGATAGATTCCTGATTGTTGGTAAACTTGATAGACGATGAGTACTTTTTTGGAATGTTGTTGAATAACTTGATAGCTGCAAAGATCACACCCAAAAAGAGCATAGGACATATTACCTACATGGAAAAGGAATTAAATTTTGATACATTCACTATGAGACACATTCTAACTAATGATATTAAATAAAACAATAGTCCACATTTGTTATGTCATTAGGGTGCACTATAGTCGTTTGGCAGTTAAAATTGGGACTCAAATACTATTTTACAGTTATTATCTACGATAGTTAAATATTATTATTAAGCGCAGTCTCTAGCTATAAAGTGTAACTACTTCAAAACGAATCCCAGCTTATCATTTAAGATGACAAACAAACAGCTAGCGACATCGGTATCTATCTTCTTTGGTCAATATACAGATCAAGATTTTGTTACAGAATAATTTAAATATGATCAAATCTTAATCCGTTTTAGAAGCGCTAATAAATAGAATGTACAGTGCCTGAAGTGTGGTAGAAATAAGAAGTGATACACATAATTAGACCATTCAATATTTAGTTACAGTTACTACACTAATCAATGTAATCCCACAAATATCATTTGGTTCTGGGACTTCATTTTAACTCATGATGATAAAAACAAGGTAAGATTATCACTGTGAGACAGTCAAAGCGGATTGACTGATGACATAAACAACTTCATTCATATTCAACAAATGTCACTAGCTCTGGCAGTAATTCATAAAATCTCACCATAAATACAGCGGAGCGACTTGAACTATTTTCAAATACAATGACTACCAAATAGATGTTAACTACATGAAGTATAAATAGAATTTCAATAAGTATAGATCTAAAATTTGTGACGTTTCAAGACCCTGTGTAAGTTCATTTTCAAAGAATAAATAACTAATAACTTATATTCAGACTCATCCACATACACACTAATAAACACATAGCTTTGCTGTTAGCTGTTTACAAATAGTCGGTGAGAAACCCTTGACCTAAGTTCCACAGTTCAACGGAAAATCAGTAGCAACCTGCAAAACTTAGTGGTAATTTCTAAAACTGAGTGAGTAGCTCTGAATTCATGGAGGGTAAATTTCATCTTACAACTACACATACACCTTGTTGACAAATGCTAGCAAAAAATGATATCTACATCCAAAGTTTCTTGTTGACAAGATTGAAACGTAGTTTTCGGTGATATTGAGTTTTCTCAAATAAGTAGTTAAATTGGGAGACTTTCGTTGTCGTTCTGTTCAAAGCAATAAGCGTTTACCTCAAGTAAACATCGTACTGATCTTCACTCTTTCATATTAGTGACTACGTTAAGAAAACATGACATTGATTACTACTCAATGACCAGTCAATGTAACTAATAAAACCTTTATCATTTATTAGTCACTTTTAGCAAGCACTACAGAAATATGTTTAAACACGCTTGCTGCATCTACCTATTGAATTTGATTTGTTCTTTTAACTATTTAAGCTTGTGCTTACTTGATTGATTTATTTACTCAGTGAAAAAGCGAATTATACGATGCGATGAAATGACAAATATTTATTTATGTATTTATCTGGAAATGCGGACAATATATATGTTTTAGGTGTTCAACCTTAGTTGTCTTAAAAACACAGCTTAAGTATGATGCAGCCATTGAATAGGACATTATTCATACAAATTCATACGTTCATTCATCTTTTATAATTATTATTTACTTCCATTTAACTTTCCCGACAAATTATTGTGAATCGATCTTTGGTTGAGATCAAACACTCAAAGTAATCAAATTCGATAGTAAATACAAATCTAGGATGAACAATTAAAGTTACCTTAATTAACAAAAAAATTGCCATCAAAGCAGGATTCAATACTGTTGTGAAGCAAAATGTTGAACGTGGGTCAAAACTACAGTGATGAGAAACCGTTTGTTGATTTTGATGAAGCGTAATTGGATAAGAAGAAGATATGAAAAATATCAGTTGGAGAAAATTTAAACAATAGATGAATAAATCTATAAGCAATTTCATAAAATGCAAATCGATGAAATATTGGAATGGTACTTATCATTAGCATTATATCAATTAAACTAGTACTGTTGTCTCATTAACATTCTTCTACAAGCAATACCTACTATACATTTAACACTCAACTACTAATCGGAGGAAAATCACTGGTTATGGACCCCACATATTTTTACAATCGTTCAAAATGCCGAAGTTTAAACAGTTCTAATGAATCATTGTTAAAACTATCTTCCGACTTTACGTAACTATTTTTTTTATTTTTTTCAAGTTTCATAGAAGCATAATATATGCAATTTAAGAAGAGTGTACTGAAAAAAAATAACTAAGGATGTCGTTTATAAATTATTGTAATATAACAGAGAAATATATATACACATAAAAGGCAGATCTAGGGACAAAAATTAATGTACCCCACTTTAGTTTACACTTTTAATTTGGAAATTAATGATACAATACAATTGCTAGAGGAGATTATATCAATGGACGTTTAAATTTACAATTCAGTAGTTGAAAATCATGCGCTTTAAGCGTAATTTTACTGCCGCTCTACATTGTCAATAAATTGTTCTGTGCTTAAAGAAGCAATACAAAATGTTAAGTTAAAGTAGGAAACTGGTTACCAGTTAAATCCCGTTTTATTTACGACTTATCCACTAGAAGAAACCACAAAATCTATTATCTTTCAACTCGAACGTGTTATCCATAGAGTTAGTGAGTTAAGATAACCACTGATTTATGCAATGAAGGGCGCATAAATCAGTAGAGACTGATCAGTTACAGACCTAAATAATAACAATGGAAAAATATAAACTTTTACAAAATGAACTTTAATATTTTGACATATTTTGATTTACCTACCTATTTATACTAGCGATATTACCGGTACCAAAAAATCCAATTATCAATAGAAATATCTGTTTTTCATATTATTTAAGAAAATAGCTCAGTTTGTAGAATGATGCTGAAATAATCGGAATGGCAAAAAAGGGTGTTGTGGAACTTACTTACTAAACAATTGGTTTAAGTTGATTTTTTTAACTTTTATTGTATGCACATAATATTGTGATGTCTTTCGCTATTCAGTATTACAATGAATGCCATTGTTGGTATAATCTATCTTCAAACGATAAGTATGTCACTGTATAGCTTACTATTGAGTTCCATTACACCAGTAACAATCAACATCTAAATATAATCGATGTCATGAAAAACCATAAAATTTCACTTTCTTACACCATCTTTACTGAGAGTATTCCTTAAAGAGTGAATAGCGGTAAAAAGGATACAAAGAAAAGTGATTGACGGAAATTTTTCAAGTTCAACAGATTTTCACTGCATCGATATTCATTCTGAACAGCGGAATCAGTGCTTACGTCAGCTGATGTTTCAAGATCCCAAATCTAAAAACAATGAAAAATTATCAACTAAGAAAATGAATTAAAAATCAATATTAAAGTTGTGTAATAACCAAATTAGTGAGCTTGACGTTTTAGTAGTGCATTTCTAGACAAAATCATAACCACATACTTCACAAAAAAGTGAGTTTTTGAAAGTATTTTTTGAAGTATGTTCTACTCATCAGCAAGATGATCACGACAATCACTGTGCAATTCAAATCAGTCATTCAGATTTCCTGAGGTTACCACTAACCGATTCGGTTAAATGACAGAGCTTCAAATCCAATAGGGATCACTCGTTATCTTGAGATTGTGGACACGTGTTTCTGAGAGAGGTAATCCCCATGAGACCTAAGGACGAAATTTGTCTTTGTTGACTTGATGATTGGTCACAATCCAAAAATGCTGCATATTCGGGTAAAACGGCGCATATTTAGAACACAAATTTATACATATATATATATATATATATATATATATATATATATAAAGTACTATGAATTAGACGGCAAAGAGACGGGAGTTCGTTTGTACGATTACATTCATTTAGTTTTTAAAAATTTTTCTAAACAGAATAAAATAACATAGATAATATTGAAATAAATATGAAAATCTCAACAAAACCTACCCTGATATTATCTTTTAACATTGATGTTATTGATGTTGTTTCTATGTAAAACCATAGATATGTGACTACAGCGAATACAGCAAAGAATGCAACTTCATAACTAGTTAAATTTATTAAGAGTTAAGTAAAATTATTCGAATTGACAAAATGATTGAGATTTTCGAAAAAAAACTTAGTCTTCTATTATTATTATTATTATTATTATTATGAAAATGACGATTCTTAAAATTAATCTGACAGTCTTAATATGTTAAAATAGAGAAACCGAAATTAATTATCACATGTCAAACATATAAGCACAGTATTTTATTTCCGTATAATATCAATGAATAATTAGAGGTAATTTGTTGCAAAGACCTAACTTGGTAAAAGCTACTCAACCATAGCAAGAAAGAAAAGGCATGAAAATGTGAATGAGGTTTTTTTTTATGGATTCGTTAAGTTTGTATCTACCAGATTAACAATACTGACAGAACACAGAGAATAGATCAATAAAAACTAATTTAAAAGTAAAACAGTACCGTTTATTAGAAAAAATTGACATTTGAAAAATGAAATGATTATAACTAGAAAATATTTTTCTTCTATAAATTATGTTGAAAAGAATAATCATATATTAGTAATATCCACTGACTGAATTAGTCGTAATCAGTGAAATTAAATTACCGCATACATTTTTGATAGACAGATGTTTTGAAGCAGCTTATCGGTTACTGTTAACATTTTTTGTCTACACTCAGATGTATATTTCCATAGCTTATGGTGTAGTCTGTTGAAAAATAAAGTCAGACAAGGCTAGATGTAGAATATTTATATCGTACTATATTTTGTCATTATATAAACTTAAATCTTATGTTTGACTTTGTTTCTATGAAACTAATTCTTAATATCATTCTTAAAAATATTGTTTTTGTTAAAAAATTTAAGTAAAAGAAAAACCGTTGGAAAACACTATTTTGTCTAGTGTCGCGCACTTATTAAATACAGACCAAAAAAACAGTAACACAGTATCAACGATGATATTTTTAACCATTGTTCTTACAAGACAAATTAGTTTAAATTGGAATTGTCTAAAGGTTGGTTTCGAATCAGTGTTCAAAGATAAAAGGATCTTACACAACATAAAAATCTTTCATCTTTTTGTGTGCTGATCATTGTATTTTGTTTCTCTACATAAATTTGGTTTAGAGTTTTGGAGCATTTAATTAAAATACAAATTAGATCACATCGCAAGAGAACATAAAAAAAAAGCTTTTTTTTTCTCAACCTTTTAACGATGAAAAGGATACTAGGTGCTCATTAGTAAAAGTGGGACAAGATATACAACTGTCCATCCAATCATTCGAAGTCCGAGATGTGTTGGAACTAGAAGGATTACCGACAATGGTAGAAGAACTAGAATGAATAAAAAACATAATGAAAAAGAAAAAAATCTTTGCTTGAAACAGTTATCAAAGTTGAAACTAATGTTACATATAAAACACTGAGTACTTCATTAACAATGACAAAAACAGAATGTCACTTTCATTTAACATAGTTTACATGATGAAAAAATATGCTCTAAATCAGAAATCTGAAATGTCTTGGATAAACATTGATTTAGATTATCAAAATAAGAGTAAAGGAGGTCGTTTAATGATTCAACTAAAAGAAATATTTTAACTAAATCGCTATGAAATTACGATCGATAATGTCCACGAAGATGAGAATGAGGAAAACTAGTCTTTCAACTGTGTGAATTCCCATCAAGTATGATTACATATTCTCTTTTCTTTCAACAGTATGATAGTGAATTAGACTGCTAGTAGATTTTATTACATTGTTACGAAATATAGTCGGTGAATGCAGAAAGATGTTCAGTATTTCAAAAATGATCACTGGTATTTTTAAAAGTACACTACATAATTAGAGTGATGACGAGAAGCCTATGAATGAAAACACAGAGTCATTCCTTGAACGATCCTATGTATGATGAGTTGAAGGCTTTTCATTTCGTAGGCTACAACTTAGAAAATCGTACGTAAGTACATCAGTTGCAGGTACCATACCACATTAGCAGCATACAGAGATAGGAGTGTCAATTCAAATACTATACTAGCAGAGGTAGTAGAAGTGTTAGAGATGAAGAAGAAGATTAAGGTTCAAAGATATTACTCAACAAGTATAATTCAGTGGATTGAACAGAAAAAACGAGAGACGTAGAGGTGATGAGGAATTGAGAGTATATGGATTTGAGAGGAGACAGAGTGGATGCACCTGTGTCATTGAAAACAATTTTGAGCCATGTAATTCAAGATATCTAACAATCGGATACTATCATCTCGTCGACCCCCAACAGGTGGTTTACACCTACTAACTATATTAGTCGAACTGATTCCCCTGTGATTGTCACAAGAGGACTTTTATCGTTTCTTATAAATTTGGACAATCAGTGATTCAGACCAGTCAGATGGGATTACGTCCAGTTCTCGGGTTCTACGCAGGACCTCAGTCAATCAAACTGCTAAAACTGAACAACCCTCCTTAGAAATCTCAGGAGTTCGTATTAGAACCCGCTGCTCTCTCTCGTTTCAGATTTCCAATAGTCTTTTCAACATCATTAGGAGTTGGATGAATCATATCAACCTACTATACAGGTTGACTGGAGATCGCAGGTAAACGAATTGTGGCTGAAAGTCAGTTGAACTGCACCCTAAAATGTTCTGCCTACCGATCCAATCTTTTGCCCACATTGTGGAAGCACCTATAGTTCAATAACGTAAATAGTATGATGCAATACATATTGCATTAGTTTACTTTTATGTGTTATTCACCTGTTTACTTGCTAGATTATTTTTAGGAAAGGCACGATCAGTAAAATTGCTGCTTCGCTTTCAACCAATACGATGTATTGTTCTTTGTTTTGTAATAATCTTATTGGAAATTTTTTTTAGAAAAAAAGAACATCCATTTGCATTTATGCATAAAATGCACGAATATGTACAACAACAAAGTGAATAATACGAGTCGATAAAAACTTACTAATCACAGACCAACTAAATATATGAATAACGATTTTCAATATTCCAGATCGTATTATTGAGAAACTCATTGCATAAACAGCAAAACTTGAAAGACAAATTACAAAACCCTATAAACATATAGAAAGAAATAGGAAACAATTACTATAGTAAGTTACAAAAAAATTCACAAACAGATATAATTGGATTTAGGATGATTTCCCACTCCATATATGGACTCCATATAGACATCTTATGATACAGTTGTAGCGTAAAGTTTTTAATCATTCAATTAGAATGATTTATTTTTTCGTATTACGAAATGATAACAACAAATTCAGCAGATAAAATTCAAAAGTCACCTCCATTTGAATACCATCATCTTAAAGTAACATTTTTAACGTTTCTACCAACTTTCTCACGGTGAAGTGTATAAATATGAAGAATATTTATTGTTGAAAGTTATGTAACTTCAAACTTTGCGGAACAGAAATAGTGAAATGTCAGACCATTATGATCCTTGTTTGAATTAGAGACGGTAATGTGTACGGCTTTTTTGTGTGCATATGTGTGTGGATGTATGCATGTGTGTGTGAAGGAGGCGGAAGAAATCCTACTTTAGGAATTGTACATGACAATGACCTCTTATGAAGTCACCGCTTTCGAGACTTTAACTTCCCTGTATTTTGTTCAATCTTGATTTCAAAGGATATTAATTTTATTATTTTTCGATTAAAATTTTGGTTTCAATCAATTCCTTGTTATCTCCTTAATTGTCTTAGTTTCACTCGACTTTAATGGTTGCCATGTTGCTTATTTGTGTTTCATTGTTGCTGATTAAATTAGTTAAGTTGATTTATTGTTTGATAATCGAAATACGCTCCTAGTTTATATGGGGCATCCTTTTACTTTGACTGTCCACTTCTGAGTAAATTTGGCTGCTTTTCTTGCTTAGAAGAAACACCTTAATTCTGGGGTAATTTGGCTGTACTGAATTCTTCAGGTACAGAATAACATTCACTGATAGGAAGGAAACACCAACTTTTTGACCATTCTATTGTACCAAGGCCATTCAATTAACTGTGTATCTAGTGGATTTAATAAGTATCTTTATGTTTAAAAGATATCGATATTATAAACCAAGCACTGTTTGGATTTATTGAAGCACGACAAAATAGTTATACATGTTATACAGAACATAGGATTCTAGGAATTTTGGACACTATAACTAATTCATCAGTTCATCGACTGAGTCTCTTCATATATATATATATATATATATATATATATTGGCTTGTCACTGGTTCACTTTTTCTCTTCATATAAACTGGGATTCTTAGGTCCAACATGAAACCCTAGTTGGAGTCCGGGAGACTAGGTAGATGAAGACGTTATCAGAGATGACTGGGAAGAGAGACAAGTAGTGATCTCTCTGTTTTTTTATTCTTAATTCCCCATTAAAATACATATATACGAAATTCACTTTACTGAAAGTTATTTCTAGGCTATATTTAACTGAACTGTTTCTCCGACTTCTTGCAACTCTCTCTCGCTGATTTCTCTTCATTTTTCTGTGTTTAATTACACTTATTCTTTTTTTTTACACATTTGAAATCATCAATCAATCATTGTTGGACCACCATTAGAAACCTGGAAGCACTGGACGGCCGTTTCGTCCTAGTATGGGACTCCTCAGCAGTGCGCATCCACGACTCCTATTCCTCACAGGATTCGAACCCGGGACCTTTGGCATTGTAGGCAAACGGCCTTACAATCAGACCACTGGGCCGGCATCCAACGGTGTTAATGTCTAACTCTGATTGATCTTCTTACATATTCGTTTCCTTAGTTATATAGCGCATATTTATTGTGGTGTTCATTTGTACCAATATTTATATGCATGAAATGAATAAAACATTTGCAAAAGATAGTATAAGTAATTTTGGCTGTTCAAAATATTTAACCTAAAACATAGTAAACTGGCAAACAGACGTTACACTTACAAATAGATAACCAAGCCGTACAACAAGATGATTTCGACAACTTGATACTGACCAAAAGGATATACATCCTATTGGTGTAAGAATAAGACCAGATATAAATCTGGAAATCAAAATATATATTGTAGATAAGAGAACATTGCTAAAACTATACGCCTTTCACAGAGAGCACTAATATAAAGCAAAATGAAAAAAACAAAACTCTCAAATTAGTAGACTGAACGATTTTACTCCGAATTCTAATGGAGTTCTAACGAACTGAACTACAGTGTTCTCCATCATATTTACAGCTGCTACCACAAGCTAATCATAGTTTCATGGGTAATATAGCTGCTCTAGTGAGTTAATGACACAATCATCTGATACGAAAGCGTGGATTCCTTTAGTTTCGGTTACCCTCTACCGATGGATGATACAAAACCTAGATTTCGTGCTTAATAATGCTCAGTCAACAAGTCAATAATAAACCCATTGAATAATTAACATACACAAAACAACATGACAATCAGACTCCGAAAACCAGTAATAACAAAGCTCCATATAACATGTGATAATTTGCTTACTGACAATTAGCTGTTACCATTAACATTGATATGAATAGATTCACGTTATCAAGTGGAATTAACTTGTGATACTAACGTATATGAGCTTAGTAAAGAGGGATGCACTGTTCCTTCAATTTATATATTTCCATCACAAACTGACAAGCAGTTAGTGTTATAACGGTGATTTCGGAATACTTTCATCCCACGGTATGTTACGACAATAAGGTAATACGATAAGTAGAGACTGGTCTGGGTGACTGAGATTACAGTACCATCGGATTAGATATTCAGAAACTAGATCACTTTACATCAAATGGACGATTCGCGGTCTAAATAGGGGACCAGAATAAGCGATAGACAATACTTTATTTCACACAGTTACAAGCAGTCACTCTCAGTGGGTCTGAAGTAGAAATTATTAAGAGCAAAGGAAATAATATTTCCAGTCTGATCATAAACAATTATTCTAGGAAATTTTTACAAAGAATAATTAAGAATTTGTAATTATAATAATTATTATAATTAACATTATACATTTGTGTACTTACACAATTGTTGGATGCATGTTTGATCCAATGACAGGTAACAGAGGAAATATAGCCAAACAACAACAGGAAATGTACCATAGAGAAAGAATTGACTGTATTGGAGAAAAACAAACATCCAAATGCATCATAACAATTATGATAATAATGATAATAATCAATATTAAATGTGAATAAACATAAATCTATTGGTGTTCTTCTTCAAAACTACACTAATCACTTGCTTACTCTGTTTACTTATGATAGAAATGTACACTACTTTCTGTAAACTAAAACAAACATGAGTAATATGATAAAGTATAATTGGCACAACTTCTAAAAACTTTCTAATTAATCTGGTTTTTGAAGCAGAATTGGACAATGATTGAATGGAGAGACAACAACTATCTAGAGTTAGTTTAGTAAAAACAAATTATGACATACATTCGTAAACAATGATTAAACCTTATATGATATCTAAGAAATCAATAGAAACTAGATTGTGAGTATTTGAAACTAAATGACCATCAAACTTTCACTGAACATATTTTAAACAACTTAATAATCACGATAAGAAATTGCGATACAATAACCTTCAAATTGACAAATCAATATGATCAAGCTCATTCAAATTGACTGACATCAATGAATAGATTAATGAGATGATAGTAGATAAATAATAATAATAATTCCAACTATTGTATTTACCTTTTCATATGGTCTAAATGATACATCTATGTAAGGCCATAAAGCAAATAACAAACATGCCAAAGATAATAGGTAACGATGAAAAAATCCCCAAATCTGTTTTGAAATAAGGAAAAAATAAATAAATAACTATTGAATATTGAATATTACGTAAACTTTTAAAATTCAAAAAAAAAATTCTGATTTATGTTTTATTCTATTAAACAGTATTAGACAACAGACTACGATATCTTTGTTGACATTGAGTAGTGTAAATTAATTAACCACTGAGGTAGTTAAAAGTACTGTATGAATTCTATCATTAGACTTATTCTGCTGTATGACTGATATGTACTGAAAGCTAATGGTGTTAAGAATCCACAAATAAACTGTACACTCTTGAACATCAAAACGAAACACAAGTTGTCAGTTAGGTAAAAAAAAAACTATTTTCATAGAAATAAAATGCCGAAATCAATAACTATGGTTTAGTTTAATCAGTTAAAATTTGCTCAAAACATCATTCATTCTATGTATCATTCATGGATAATATTAGGGCAGTCTTTGTAAGGATTTAGGAGACAACATTAGCAATACGTACAAACTGAGGAAAAATTAAGAGATTAGTATTAAGTAGTTTGCTTAATTTGTTGTATAGTGCTGTAACTTGCGATAGTCGTAGCTCTAAGTTGCATGCAACTACTGCTGCATCAGAAACCATATACAATATAGAGATACCTATTTAGCTTTTCATAACATGTTTTGCCGGCGTTGAAAAAAAAACAGAAAAAAGTAGTCAGTAAAACATAAACTAAGTTATTAGTATTAGTATAAGTTTAGAATTCCTCGTTTGTTGATAATTAACATTGCATACGATTGGTCTTGGTTGGCATCATATGTGTCCTGAGCGTATGCCTTCAACCTACCTGTTAACATTAAATAGGTATCCTAGATTCTATTCCTAGCCAGAATCAAAATTACACTCAACTAATTAACTAGTAATAAATAACTTGAAAAATAAGCATCATATTTTAGTCTGACTAACTTATACTAAACCAGGATTATAGTAAAGTACTAGGTGTGAACTGAGCATGTATGGTGGATACTTTCACATTTTACGCAAATTATATCTTACTAGAAATAGTCACATACAAACAAAGTGTAAAACTTACAAGTAGTTCCAGTAAACAAGTAGAAACAAATATGATTGAAGAAACAGCATAAAAAGTTGAAACTGATGAGTCTGCTGTGAATAATTCATTCCATAAATAATAAATCAAGGATAATAATTGTTTTCGACGAATTCTTGAATAACTTAATGATAATAGTAGGATAAGTGGAACCAGTTGATATAGAGTCGGTCCGAATCCCCAGGAATGAGCTAAAATTGTTTGGCAATTTGCAAAACAATAATTGAAAAATAAATAAGCGATTTCATAAAATCATATATATGATATGACCGAACAAATTACACTGAATAACAAGAATCAACGACGATATTCGATTGCTAAACCTGAACATTATGACATCATGAACCACGCGAACATCGGAATACAAACACCTTCTTTTGAAGTACAAAAATTGTTATTTCACAAAATTAGAAATCATTTTAACTATAGTAAAACTAACTATAGAGAGCGAATTTTTGAATTACTTAAAATGAACAAAGTCCCACCGACTGGAGGAAGTTGAGTACTACCAACAATTAACAATATACCAGTGTATTCAATCATAAAATAAATATTACAGTATGGTTAGAACCTTCATTTGTGACATTCAATTGTCTAGTCCATGTGCAATATTCACGGACACTTTTTTTCATTTCATGCTACAATGTCGACTTTTTGAGCGACTCGCGTTTCTTTGCTATGTGTAAATATTTAGGTAATTTTTCCTTTATATTAAATGCTTTCAGGAAAATGTACATCCGATCGGGTAAAAGTATTTGGTGTAATGATTTTATTGTACAGTTAAATACCTTGGTCGATTTTCTGATATAAGCCTGTCGATCTAACTTGAAACTCTGTATTTGAATGCAGATATCAGTGATGGTAAAAATCCAGCTTAGAAATATTTCTAAAAATCCTTTTGTAGTGTATAACTTTAGGATAAATGGTGACATTTATTGCCTTTATTTGCTGTTTAAACGAAGACGAGATCTATTTGTGATATTTCTTTAATTTGTACTTATTCGTGGAATCCATTATTGACTTCCGTCAGTTACCACGAACATATGACCTAGTACAAATATCCATTAGCATATCCGAATTTCTTAAAAAATGGATAGCAAGAGTCTAAACAATAGAAGAATCATTTGTGTTGAAACGAATAAACGCAGAGGATATGGTTGGGAAAAAATGAAAAAAACAAATGGGATGCACGAATATTACAACTGGAAAAATAAGTGGGTAAAAAGTTAAGGACATCTGCGAAATCGCTATTGGTTTTAGGCCGTGTCACTTAAAAACCAACCATGGTAACATTGCTTTCGTGGCTAAGTAACAAGAATTGGCCGTTCGCCAGTGAATCTCAAGTAAAATGGATTGGCGTCACATTTCGTAATGAAAATGATCGTTATCATGTTTCAGTAAATCAACTACCTGGTGCATATCGAATTAAATATGCGGCAATTAATTTGAGATGAGCGCTAACTGAATTCGTTTTATGCAACAGATTCTGCACACTATCATCATTCGCTAGGCTATCACTCAACCTTCCCAATATAAGTAACAGCTTATTTTATCATCTTTCGTTTTGCTTAATCAGTCAAAAACAAAGTAGCATTAGCCCAACGTATCATAGCATATTAGTAGAGTGGAAAGAAATTAGAAATATGTTTTGAATAGAACTTGAAGGAATAGTATCTACCTGTGTGAAAAACTAAACATATAATACGATTTATTAAAAAGTGAGGTTCAAGCCTGTAACCCCAGGGTTGTAAGTCAACAGTGATATGGTTGTATGAATGGAGACAGGTAAGACCTGGTTATGAACAACGTGTATTAAATTGAGATTATTTAAGCAATACGCATGCATATGTTAATCAAGAGGTTTTATCAGCATGTTGTTAGAAGTCAGCAAACTTCCATAAGGACATTAAGGTTGTACTTTAATTCATGAAGTTTTCGAATCTGTAACCTGCTGATGTGTAAAATGTAACAATTTCGCTTTCATATGCCGTTTATTTATTTCTTCAATCGGAACGTATTTAAACACTGCTTATTGGAAACCATAATAATATCAAACTAGTGAATTCATTAAGTTTACATCAGATCATCATGTAAAATTCAGTTCTTCTTTGATATAAAGGAATCACAGTCTCACTGGTTTATATGTTCGAAGACACTGAACAACTTTGAAACTAATTATTTAGCCTCATTTAAAATAACTTGGAGAGGGAGATCAACATCTAGCCGAAAAATGGTAGTGTGACCTAATGTGTCGTTTATTGATAAATGAATTTTCAAACAGCTTAGCTCCATACTAATTACACTAAATGGATTAAAACACACTTATTCAACTTTAAGTACGGTATTTCTTTCACAAAATAATACAGCATTGTCGTTTGGTCTCATTATGACAAAAAATAAGCATGCTACTCAAGAGTGGGACACCAGAATGTGTATCTGTGTTCCAGGACCTGTCGAAGTGTGAATATCTGGTTTATACAACCACGTTCAGATCTGAAACCAGCCTGGTTTTCTCGAGTCTCTTCTTCACGAGCTCTACTTAGACGTTGAAGTATTATTGAAGCTAATATCTTAGACAACATATTAGTCAAACTAATTCCTCTGTGATTGTCACAAGAGAACGTTTGCACTTTCTTATAGATTGAGCAATCAGTGATTGAGACCAGTCGGATAGGAATACGTCCGGTTCTCAAATTCTCAGTCAATCTAACTGCTAAAACTGAACCACCATCCTTAAAAATCCCTGGGGTAAGCCTGTTACGTCCTGCTGCTCGTCTGCGCTTCAGATTTCTGATAGCTTTTTCAACTTCATTGAGAGATGGAGGACTTACATCAACTTGCCATTCAGGTTGACTGGAGATGATGGGTTGTTGAGGTGTTGCTGAAGGCCAGTTGGACTGATCCTTAAAGTGTTCTGCCCACGATCCAATCTTCTGTGTTGAGAATGGAAAAAATTGCCATCTTTTTACTAGATATTGTCAGTAATAGTCGGAATTCTAAAACTGGTTTCCTTGACAAGTTTGAACAGTTGTCTACCGTCATCTACCATTGTCGCATTTTCTATCTGTCTTGCTTTCACTACCCACCAGTGTTCGTGATCATTGCGTAGGCTCTTAGTCAGCCTGCGCTCAAGTTGATTTCATTCTCTGTCATTTTCAGAGCTAGATGAGAGTATCTATCAGTTCGGTAGATGCTACTGAGATCCACTGTTTTTCCTTAACTTTTAAGTTTACCCATGTAGTAAGATGAAGTGAACTGATGGTCAGTAGACTCCTCTTCCGGTTAGCGGACGGATATCTCACCTACGCCAAAAGCCAATCAAGCATTCTGTATCCGTGCCGAGTGTTCGTCAAACACCGGACCATCAGTACTGATGAGACTCCTAAAATAAGTGAGACAATCGACATACACTAACCACTTATTATAAATAATTTTAGCAATTATTGATAAATCTCGTAAACAATAAAATACGAGGTATAACTAACCAAAAGACAGAACCAATAAACCGAATCCAATCGCAATACAATTAATCAATGTCCAAAAGAAACTATCTACGTGATTTTCATAGTTTTTATACTTTACATTATCAACTCTATTAAATAAACGACAAAGTATCACTAGACTCCATAAACAGAATGTTGACGATACACAAAATCTATATTTAAAAAAGAGAAATTTAAAGAATATACATTTTTATCGAATCAAGTTAACTAATTCATTAACGGGACTCAATATTCAAGATCAGATTAATTTATTTTGCTTTAAGATTAATATATTTGTGCGAAAGGTTGGTGATACTATCTAAGTGATCAAATTGAAGTAGATTAATATGGATTGGGAACTGTGAGCCAATAAACAACCTTAACAAAATATCAGTTTCCTCGCAAAGTCAAAGCGACTTTGCATCGTTTAAATTGTAAAATGCTATTTTATGTTAGGACACTATACCAGGGTTATGAATAGCCGACTACAGTCTGCCACCTAGACCTGTAATTTTGGCTGGAGTAACAATAAATTGGATAAAAGTCAAGGGACCTAAACCATGACGTTGTAAGCGATTGAAGTTAATGATTGTTAGAATAAGTCATGTTGACAGGTGAAGCGTTTGGGTGTCAGACGATAACCACATTCACTAGTTAGATATGTTGAGAGGCATAGCTCAGAATCGGCCAAAGTGGTGCAAATAAATTCACTCTTTCGCTTGTCTTGAGTTTTTATATTATCTCATACATAGTATTCTCTAAATTCATCCCTTCTCGATACACTTTCACCTTTTGTTATAGATTTCGTCATAAATTAAGGACGTACTATTCCTCTCATCAATTTAATCTCCTTATGATGTGGTAAAGAAACTTGGATTGCTGATTATAAATTACTGAGTGACTCCAAACACGTGATGCAACATAGTAATCGAAAGCAAAGTCTTCAAATTTTTAAGCCAGTAAGAAAATGACTGACCATATATTCGATTTCCTATAAATCATATTTTTTAACTACAATTTCTAAGTGATATAGCGCTAATATCATCCAATGTCAAGCACAAGTAATTATTTTGGTCTGAACTTGGTTGATACGAGAATTCGTGGCTTCCAATTAAGATTTTAGGAAACTCATCGTAAAGCTGGTCGTCGGTGTATAACTGTTATTATTATTATTATTGTTTACTGAGGCCTCTTAAAAATGTTTACAATTTATAAAAACATCTGCATCAAACATATACAATAAAAAAAAAGAAAATATACTTACCCTAGGTATAATCTATCATATTTATGATAATAGTTTAATCCTTTTAAAGCTAAACTGGCTAAGTGTTTGTACTCCTGAATCTAAACAGAAAGTTATGCAATTATCAATACATTTACAATTGTTTACCAACTTACTGCTTCATAATATTTTCCAGCAGAAATAAGAGATTCACAATCATTTTCCATATTATCGATATCTGACATTTTTATTAATCTGCGTACAGGAAAATAAATCAATGTGTAATTTGAACAGATGATTTTAATGTTAGAAAATAATTATTACAGTTATTAGTGTCCGATCTATTGTTGTCTTAGTTAAGAAGTGTAAAAAACGACAACTTTAATTCTACTTAATAATATTCATAATTTCTTTGATATCTTTTCAATGAAGTAGTGGCTTCGTGACTAGCTGACTCAGTTTTCAACTAGTAGGCCGAAGATTCAAACCACACTTTAACTAGTCCAGATTCGACAACTGGGTTGTATTATTTACCTTTCAAAACAAACACTAAAACAAGTAAGTTGAGCGTACTATGATGGGTGTTTTTTGAATCCAAATTTAGATAAAGATTGAAAGAAATAACATACAACCTTAAATCCATTTGTAACAATGTAAGTGATCATTCTACTTAAGCAACTTATGGGAGATAAAAATTTCAAGACGATCATGAGCAAAACTGATGGTTCAATTGTAGAGAAAAAAAACCGTAATAAAAAAAAATAGGATAGGTGATGTTCAAGATTTCGAGGAAAAACAAACAAAAATGAAAATCATCAATTTTCATTGTCTAATGAAATACAGCATAGGAAGTCTTGAAATAATAATTCCTTTACTTCTATTATTTAGTACACTTCACTTGACATCTGCTTGTTCATTCAATGAGTACAACTGATATTTACATCATTGTAACAGGGTAATCATATCTAAGGTCAATGTGTGAGTTAATGTAATTAGTGCTAAGTTACACTTTTAAAATGAAGACAACAGATTTAGTTACGCATTTTTCTCACAATGGTTAGGGGAAGAGTTAAAACCTGTAAAGTGATCATTTAAATTTAAGTAATTCAATCACTAAATTATCATTACACGAGTCCTGCCTCCGATCATCAAACGAAATACACTCGTTTAATGTGAAATCGTTCAGAATTATCAAAACTATTCATTCATATGGAAATATAAACTAAACTAGTTAAGTCAATGAATAAAGTACATCAATATTATTATTATTATTATTATTATTATCAATAACTAGCAATTTTAATTTGATAGAATGAAGAAATAAGTATATAACTGACTGAACAAAAGGATATACATTTATATGTATGATTACTTACGGAAATTCTCGGAACAAAATACTGAAATGAGATTTCTTTTTTTCAACATACTTAACCTGAAATAATTTTTTGTTAGAAAATATACAGATATTTCCGTTTGAATTTAATACAGCACAAATGTATTACAATATGAACTACAAGAAAGACATGATAAATAAACTAATATAACAAAACCATGAACAGAAAACTAGACAGATAAACGATGATAACGATTACAGTCAGGGGAATACTCAAAAAATATGCACTCATATTGCTACACCGTTTATATGCACAATGTTTACATGACAATGGTTTTTGTGACAATAGTGAAAGAGGTACAGAAATCGTGTAGTGTCAAAAGTAGGAGAACAAGAACGTAAACTGCAATCAAACTGATTACCTTGTACAAAACATGTTCTTTAACAAAATCAAACATCTATCGATATCCTTTACAAATTACCTCAAATTCTGTGCATAAATTGACACTTATCTACTACGGCAGTTACATTGATGGAATAGACAGAAAGGTTCATGTTCATTCGTACGATCACGTTTCCAAGACGCCTTAGAACATGAATAAGGACTTTGAGTGCTACTATTTCAAGACATTTCTTTGAGACACGGCATCACGTTGATAACTTGGAAATCTACTAGTATAAAATAACTCAGTAGAGAGAAATAACACACGTACAGTTTGCCATGGAATAACAGGCTTAATACTATGAAATGTCGATAAAAAATGTCACCTCCTTGTGAAATTTTTAAAAATATACCTTTAATTGCGCATATATTTGAAGCCAGTTCGCCCGCGTTAACTTCACCTTATCGTGTTCAGGAACCTCCAAAAATTCAACAGGGACTTGACCCTAAGATTTAAAGATAAAATTTATAGAATATTAAGCACAATCAATAGAAGGTAACCCGGAAAACACACAAAAATAACATCATCATCAAAATATTTAAAGGAAAATTATAGTTTGGTTTATTAAACGTATATATATTACAATGGACTTTAAACTAAATGTTTAAATACATGAAATGTTAAGAATTTTTCAATTGACCTACTATAGAATTGACTGGGATCGGGACACCCAAAAGGCTAGCCATTAAAGGGCATAAATCAGCCTGTTGAATTTCACGTCGAAGACGTCCATAATTATGCAGTGGTAGACCATACATGTCTTTTTTGTTTGCTAATAAATTATCCGTATTGGTTTCTATTTCCACTGGCCCAACAGTGCCAGAACCCCAAATTAACAAAGGTGTTACTGTTTCATGAAAGGAACCAGACCCATGACTTCCTATGAAATGAAAATCACCACAAAAAGAAAATATTATTTCTACTTAGCAATATGTTGCTTATATTAGAAATGGGTAAGAAATATTTTTTGTACATCGGTTAGTTGACACTTCCAAAATACACTGGAAAATCTCACAATGATCAAAAGATAACTTATGTTATTCAGTATCTAAATGGAAAAAATTGTCAAGTAATATCATACCATATACGTGATAGAAGATATGCATGCTAGATCAAGATATCCATTAAGTAAAGTAAAAGAAATCGAAAAGCTCTTATAATCTTAGTTCAAAAGATAATTCACAGATAATCAGAGTTGATGAAGTAGACTTGATGGTTTTGACGATTGCACTGACAAGCCAAGTTTTATATTACCCACATTCGTTATTCAGTCTTGTTTTTAAATAGTAAAATACATTGTAAGGATTATGAACTTCACTAAACTTAAATCAGGGTACGTATTAAAAAGTTTGTTGTCCCCTCAAAACATTGAAAATTTACTGTCTCATGTTCATATATTTTGTCATCTGTTGAATTAAATTGAGACCCCAATCACAATTTTCGATAATTAATTGAAGTTTTTGACAGTGACAAGCATTTTAGTCTATCCGGATCGTTAGCTGACTAATGACTTAATCGACAAGTGAAGCATCAGCAATGATTGAAGTCTGTTGAGCAGCGAATTAAATTAAATATCTAAGTCAGGATTACAAAATGTATACACAGATAATGAAGTTATACTATTAGCATAAAATAACTTTACATTTTATCAATGAGTATTTGATTTCTGTAGACTACATAGTTAAGCAAACTTTGACTGTCAAGGATTCCTAGTGTTGAAATTAAGCAGTATTAAGTAAACTGTATGATTTACATGTCAGAGTCATAAGAAATAGTGGAAGCAGTTGCCAGATGCTTAAAATTATGTAACAAAGTCACAAATGAAAAGAAACATTTATTTAGTACGTTCTTGATAGAAAACAGTTAATTTATTCTACGATCTACAATTGAGCTTTTGAAATTGTCCTTACATTTGAGACGCTTCTGAGCTTTTTACTACACATATATTTTTTAACCGTTCTTGCCTTTTTGATGATCAAACTACAAATCATCTGACTTATATGACAACATTTAATGATTAACTATAAAAGTAAATCGTTATTACTAACCCCATTCAGTCATTCCATGATCTGAAGTTAAGATATAAGCAATACGTGACCCAGTTCCACGAGATTTTTCAGTTAACGCATGATAAACTTGAGAGACCACCTTGTCCAAATTACGAAGAACTTCAATGTATTCAGGTGAATTAGGTTTAAAAGAATGACCAACCAAATCAGCTGCATCCAAGTGTAGGAATACCATGCGACCTTGACGGTAATCACTAGATGTTGCAGTAAGATCACTAAAAAATTCATCCGAATAATTAATGAAATCCTATAAATATATATAAAACATTTGTAACTGTTTAAATTGGATACATACTTTGCAATAAATGAGTGAAAATTCAGTTTAATACAATAACTATTAGACCATGAACAATCACTGAAACAGACGTACGACTTGAGATCATGTACAGACAAGTACTGGATACTCATCTGTGTGCTTACAACTGACTAAGATGAAGTGAAAAATACATTTTAATTGGAAGTAATGTGGTATGCTATGATCAGTCTAGTTAGAGAGTATCTACTATAACTCCGAGATAATACTGAGAAACAGCGAAGAGGAGCATCACTACTTTTATCGCCATGTGCCAGTGTATTTTGGACGTGATTCGTTTTATGCTTCTGATAGTTTCCCTAGTTATTTGACCATAAAATATAGTCTAAAACATTTAATAAACAAACTATTTTAAAAACAAGCTTTTATGTAACTCGTGATCTGTTCAAAGTCAATACACAGAAGCGGTATTAGATAACGCTTAGAATTAAAAGTTGGAGGATCCGCCCTGATAAATTAGAGTTGGATCATGAATAGTACTAATAACTGATAACTGTATGAAATGCAGGGTCAGTATAAAACTATACCGAGGTGTTTGCACTTAAATTGGCCCGTGTGTTTTCATTCAATTCGAAACTCGACTGAAGATATATAACACCAGAGAAATGAACTTAGGTAGTTGAGTACCACTATAAGAAATTTGAAATTTCAGTCCGTCTTCTAAGCGAGATGTTATAACACTTTTGATATAACTAATTTGACAGCAATAGCAAAATAGAAAAATGCATATCTCAGGTGTGAAGAACGACTGTCAATATCCATCCAACTACAGAGATCCTAAATAACTAGGTAGCTTAATAAAGTCTGTGGAATCGTACATACGACAGGTCAGTTACTCGACTCAGTGTCACGAAGATAAATTTGATAGTATCGCAATAGGTATAATAAGTAAGCTACTAGACAAATACTTCAGCTTTTATTCATTGAAAAAAGAATTGGAAAATGACATACTAGAAACTGATTGACAACCCATCGGTCGATTTCAGTAAGATTTGTCTTAGCCATATCACTTAATTCATCGGGGCAAGGAGTTGCTTTGATATGATGTGTAGAAGGAGAAACGAATGACATGACAACCTCTTTGTAACCCCATATCCAGGATAGGAGAGAACGATTAAGTACAGAATCAAACTCCATAGGATTTACTTTCCATCCTGAAAGTTAAGAGCAGTACAAAATATAAATTGATATTTATACAGGAAAAGCGAGAACAAAATTATTCTGACATATTTGAAGATATTGTTTGGTTATATAGGTTATTCATCACAATCTAGTTTTTTTAATATACGTAAGTACAGATAACACTAAATGTATTCAAACTTATCTCTTGGTAAAAATCTCATCTTCAAAATTAAGGTGAACTACATTATATAACTACATTTACTTTGAAGTTAACATACTTCAAAGAAGAGCCTGCTTTAACAACAAGACAAACGGATTTTCCTAGCTACATTTGTTGTTTGTCTATAATATTTCACTTAGGTCACCTGGCATTAATTGGCTATTCATATGTAACTATTATTTAGGCACATCATATCGACTTAGAGTAACAACTGCATAACTGACTACTAACTGTATCTACCCCTCCGTAACAGTAATCCTTACCCCCAGATGTCCTAGTACGGCCAGGAATAGAATGAGTTTGCTCTCTCTTTCTCGGTCGCAATGCTCTCAGATAACCACGCGTATTTAGGTACTGGAAGGTAAGTACTACTAAATGCCTACTCGTGATGAGAGTGTTGTTGCCAAAATTAAGCGGAAAGAATGCTAATGTTCATTGCTCTAACCGGGCTGATGGATACGAAGGGACCATCTAGGGAAATTGGAAAACCACACTAACTTCCATAGAAGACTGTTGCTCATTCTGGAATATATGTTTAGATTTAGATCATGCTCTAGTGCGAGCGCGCATTTCTTTGAGGCTTACTGGACGTAGGAAAGACACTGAGAGGCAATCACTTAGGGTTCTACTTAATGATAGCAAAGATAAAATATATTTCAGAAGCAACTAAAAATACAGGTGGCTGTCTAAGTGATTTCCAACTTGAGGCACCTTAGAAAAATATGCAAAAAGCCGTGAAAATATCAGCTTTATCTGCTAGTAAAGTAAACCATAAGGATAGGAGGAAACAGTGGATCTCCGTGACATCTATCGAACTGATAGATGCTCGCAAACTCATCCCATATTGTTCGGAACATGACGAACAGTGAAGTCAACTTAAGCATAGGCTGACTAAGGGCCTACGCAATGATCGCGAACAGTGTCATCCTTATCATCAACAGCAACGTAGAACTTTGCACGTAAGTACAGCAGTTCAAGTGGCCATATCACATTAGCACAGAGATATAACTGTCAATTCAAATCCCATAGTAATAAAGGTAGTAAAAGGATTAGAAGTAATTGAAGAGATTAGGGTTCGAAGATATTATTCAAGAAGTATAATTCAGTGAGGTAAATTTAGAAAGAAAAAGATAGAAGTAATGAGGAATTCAGAAGGTTAGAATATCATAAAACACAAAGAGTAAATGCACCTGCGCCGTTTCAAACGGTTTTGAACCATGTCAAAAGCCAATCGAGCTTTCTGTATCTGTGCTGATATTTCGTCAGTCACCAGGCCGACGGCACAGTGTTGGGTAGTGAAAGCAGGAGAGATGGAAAAGGTAGTAATGATAGGTAACGGTAGACAACTGTTCAGATTTATCAAGGAAACCAGTATTAGGATTCCGACTATTACTGAGACTATCAAGGAAGAAGATGGCACTTTTTTTCCATTCTCAACACAGAAGATTGGATCAATAGGCGAAACACTTTAGGGATCAGTACAACTGGCCTTCAGCAACACCTCAACAACACACCATCTCCAGTCAACCTGAATAGCAAGTTGATGTAAGTCCTCCATCTCTCAATGAAGTTGAAAAAGCTATCAGAAATCTGAAGCGCAGACGAGCAGCAGGACGTAACAGGCTTACCCCAGGGATTTTTAAGGATGGTGGTTCAGTTTTAGCAGTTAGATTGACTGAGATTCTTATTAGAATTCGAGAACTGGACGTATTCCTATCCGACTGGTCGCAATAACTGATTGCTCAATCTATAAGAAAGTGCAAACGTTCTCTTGTGACAATCACAGAGGAATTAGTTTGACTAATATGTTGTCTAAGATATTAGCTTCAATAATACTTCAACGTCTAAGTAGAGCTCGTGAAGAACAGACTCGAGAAAACCAGGCTGGTTTCAGATCTGAACGTGGTTGTATAAACCAGATATTCACACTTCGACAGGTCCTGGAACACAGATACACGTCTTGGTGTCCCACTATAGTTGTATTCATTGACCTTAGGGCGGCATACGACTATATTGATCGTGAGGTTATGTTGTACTATCTGTCGTTGAAAGGTTTACCAAAGTACAGTAGCCGTATACAAGCTCTGTGCTCGAACACTACATGTCGAGTGAGAACTTATGGCGAACTGCCATCAAAATTTATTACTTCAAGTGGTGTCCGTCAGAGCTGTCCGCTTTATATACTCTATGTTTGTTCAGCTTTGTCACTGACATGCCTTTAGAGATAACACCATCTCAGTTCGAATTTTCATGAGTTGAACTTTTACCGGGAGATTCACTAGTTAACTTAGAATATGGCGGTGACATAGTGTCGTTTGTTGAAGTAGCTGATAAAATTGCATCGTCTTGTGACTACCTTCAGAAACAATGCAAACATGTTTAGGGTACAATTCCCTCCCTCGAAATGCAGAATGTTGCTTCAGGATTGGCTTGCGTTGGCACGTGAAGTAGTTAAGTGTATCGATTACTTCACTTATTTTGAGTCTCATCATTTTTGAAGGTCTGGCGTCTGACGAAATCAGGGCACAGACACAAGAGGCTTGACTGGCTAATTCCGACTTGCGTTAGTTACAGCGTAGGCGAGATATCCGTCTACTAACCAAATAACGTGTCCTTCTATACGTGTGAAACATGGTCAGTAAGAATAGAGTACATTCGTAGGTTACTAATATCTGATAATGGATGTCTTTAAAGCATTGCTTATATACTCTGGAACCATCAGGTAAGCAATACTGATGTGGAAGTTATGCATCGCAGCTAACGAATTGACAGGAAACAAATGGCATACAGACCTTTTGTTTGTTACTGGCTACCAGAGTACCGCATCTCCCAACGCGACTCGACTACGTTATGAAACAGAACGTTCGGTTAAATACTCAGGAATTGGTCTTCTCGGAAAACTACCTGCTTCTGTTTAGGTACCCAGGCAGTATTATGACCGGCACAAAGACCAAATGATTAGAATAACTGGCAGATTAACATGCTCGCATCAATTCTTACTCTCACAAATCGTACTCAGGGTTTTGATAACAAAACGAGTTCTACAACAAGTTAAGTGATCTTCAGAAAGTGCGTTCGACAGATATCACAATACTAGCCGGAGACTTGGATGCTCATGTGCGGAGTATAGGAATGGTGGAAAGTAGTTTGGGTGGCTGATGGAGACTTGTTTGTCTTGGGTCAGATAACACTGATCGTCAGCTGCGAGTTTGCATTTAATAAAACCTGTTCCCGTCTAGCACTATCAGCATAGTCATCGCCAATGCGCTACCTGACGTTCTCCCTCCGAATCTCAAGCCTGGACTCAGGTCGATCACATCACGACCACCTACTGCTTATGTGGTTGTTTATAATACTGCCCCCGCTTTTGGAGTATTTATGTGATCTCTAATCATGCCTTTATTGCGCCAGTTTTATCTTACGTCACAGTGGCTGACAAATTCATCATCCAGAACGGATCCATGTCAGTAAATTGGTTGTAGCTCTTGTTCAAACTAAGTATCAAACCGAGCTAGGTTGAACGCTGGCTACCGACCCGTTGAAAAGTATAGATGAGAACTGATTACAATTGCACGACGCCATGGAAATTTAGAGTAAGGTCACTAGCAGCTTAGCGAAACGTCTTGCTCATAGACCTCTCACAACTTGTTGAGACACGTTAATCTACTCTGGGAAACCGTGGTTTTTAGTGATAAAAGACTGTTACGTAATCCAATGGTACAAAGTTTGCATGAGAACCGGCAAACCTGGCGATCATAGCATACTAACGAGTTGAGAGCAGCGGCTGCATCTGTTAACCGCAGGGAGCTCTCTCAACTCATCTGATTCACTGGCAGAAAGAAGTTTGGAGTGAATAAAACAGTCTGTGAAGTTGAATGGACACCAGTCAGTGACATCCACCAACATCTTGGAAAACGGACAGTTTTTCGAGGAATAGTTCAGATGGTCTTCATCCCAAGCAATATCGATCGAAATCTCTTGTACTTAATGGCCAGTAACGACTAAACTGCTTAACAGGGTAAAAGTCTGCAAAGAACTCCAATTGTTGAAGCTCCACAAATAGCCAGGACTAGAATACTTACTTCCGGTCCCTTTTAAAGATAACGACGATCTTCTGATTGTGGGATTGACTGAGGTCTTACAAACGTTTGGCAATGAGAAAGTGTTTCCTGTCTTAAAGAGAGGTCCATGTCAGCTACATAACAACTAACAGCAGAAAGGTTTACTACCGACTGCGTCCAAATTATTGGCTTACGTTAGACGTCTCATATTGTTCAAAACCCAAGAAAGATTAACTTGGAAGGAACTGGTTGGTTTTCCTTCTGGTTGAGGATGTACTGATTAGAACTCCACACTTCGCTAAATGTTAGAACACCGTCATACTTATATCAGGCAACAATAGTTGAAATAAGAATACTGATAAACAAAAAAAACCCATTTCGTCAAAACTGAAAGGTTTTCACTATTAAATAAAACCAACACTCCACTTCTTACTTTAGTCCAACCACTGATAGCTGAGAAGCCCTCAGAGATATTAGGCCACTGAACAAAAATACTAAATCTAAAAACTATATTCTGTTTAACTTATGTCCGAGAATAACTGAGAGAGTATGCATTTACCGGACTGACCATGCTTTGTAGGGTAATTTTAATTTTCAAGTCACTGCTCAATTTCCTTCACTAAAACGTTTCACTACTCTCTCATATATGCGAACAAGATAAATTGAAAAACCGAAAAAAACGTTAAAAACCTTTAGTTATTGAAGCTACATCTTCGTAGAATCCACCCAACATAGCCACATGTGCAGGTCTTGATTCAGTAGGGACTCTTGTATGTGAAACACCCCACAAACCATGATGCAGAAGAACATTCCTATATAAATAAGATATCCAAAACAGATAATTTTTTAATTAAAGTGAATTTAACGCATTTTATAAAGCCCATAGTTAGTAACGATCTAAATAATATTACAAAATATAGAAGCGTAAGTGGAACATTAGCTATACTAAACGTCTTATTTTGATAAACGTTGAAAAATAATAAGCACTATAGGGTAGCTTAGGTGGGAATCTTTTTGTACAAACGAACAGAAAATTAGGAACTATGAAAATTAATGAGAAGCAAGTGCATGAAGCCCTTTCAATTAGTTCTGGCTTTATAAAAACAAAATTTTAGTAAATTCAAGACTAGACGTGATGATAAGATTTGCATTCTTGTAAACAAAGAAGAAAACAATTATAAGTACCTGGCTTTAAATGCCTACGTGCTACTAGCAATTATCTTTCTACTTTTGAAATGTTTCCGCGATTATAAAATTTTCTAAACAGAGAATAATCGAAGGAAATTATTTCACGACAAATCACTGGAAATCGGAACAAAATACTGTACACGATAATAACGGGAAATGATTAGCAGCTCTGCTAAATACATAGAATGTCGGTAAAATGACTTGTTTATTAATTTATTGTGATTTTCGGACGGCTTAAAGATCAAACTCTAGAAGTGTTCGCCTACTTTTGTGGACGGCAGTAGCTGAAAATTCGACGCGGATCAAAAAAACCAACACACTCTTAACAATTAATCCCTTCTACACTATGGAAAGGTGCTTCGACGAAAACTAAGTGAGAACCACAGTAACGAGGAAAGTTGAAAAGTGGATTTTGTAAAGGAAATGTAGAAGATTAATAACATTTATGCGCAAAACTTTAAAATGGTGTGATTTCCATGCTTGTGAATAAACTTCGCAGGGAATTCTATCATGTTACTGAAGTGGAAACAAAGCCCAGGTAAACTTCGGTCCTCTAGAAATAAACGTGATACCGAAAGCTGTTTGGATTGACCTAATTCTACATGACTTAATTAGTTTTTTACTTAGGGTTCCGACTTATTCAACTCATAGATGAGAAAATCAGGTCATGTGCCTAGACTTTACCACTGTCGTGCACCCATTCACTGTCTACTTTTCATTGGGCCCAGTTCAAAATAAGTTCCAGGCATTTGAACTCGACGTTTGAATAAACCTGCTATTTCTCGGCTTAAATTTCCAGCAACGATTAGGAATACTAATAACCACGAGGCTAACGTTTGTTCCTAATCGGCAAGTAATAGTCGATTCGTAAGAAAACGATGCAAAAACTAAATATTTAAAGACTAACACTAAATTACCTTAAGAAAGGAGTGTATTCCATATCATGACTGAAGATTTTGTCAGCACGAAGCCCGTCGGAAACCATGAAAATAATGTGAGTTGCCGGAGCACTAATATTCAGCGGCACAATATTTATGCCATGTGTGAGTGGAGATGTAAAATATATGTCAAAAATGGAATAGAACTGTATTACATTCAAGAGAATTATTGCTAAAATCTCGAAAACCCGAAACATGACCTTCCAGACGAATCACCGCTATGTTGTAAAATAATGTGCAATATCCAATAACTTTTTCAGCAGCTAGTACAAACCAATTCAATATCCAACATCTTTTCCACGAGCTAGTGTTAACCTATCGATTTCTTTGCTCTCGATTCTTGTCCTTTCGGTACGGTTTTAGGTGTTTAGTAGTGTCCAATGAATCATGGTCTAGACATTCGACTGTCTAATTCTAGTCAGTTGTAAGTTGCTCGTGAGTTTGTATGTCTCGTGACTTGAATAAAAACGTGTGTTTCAGGGCAGTAGGGTTTCCGGATATCAGCAGCTTTCACAATACTATACCAAAGACCAGTTAGTTGTAATTTGGATAATAATAAGGAGGGAATTCTAATGCTAATAAGAATAAGATTTCAGAACTGGGTAATATATAGATTATTTAGTTTATTAATTGTTAGTGAAGATTGTGAGAGATGACCTAAGTGTAAGCAATGGAGAGGAAACAGAGATAATAGGCGAGATAGAATAATTAAGTGATCTGGGGAGATGGGAATGATAGCAACTATCAGGTCTCAAGAGATGCATCATGCACAGCTTGTCCACGCGGGAGATGATGAGACGAGTACATGATTCCTAAAGCTGTCCACTGAGACGGTCTGTGGTCACCTTGGCTGGAAAAGCATTCCAAGTTGAATAGACTTTTAATGAGAAAAAGTGTACGCGAAACCGAATATTCGCTCTCTGATGCGTAATTTTTCGAGGATTCCCTTGAGGTGAGTGGTGATGATGCATCGGTAAGATGCTCACGTTAGGATGTTTTGGCTTGCTTAATATGTTGTACGCCATAATCAGATCACCTGTGATCCTCCTGTAACTCAGTGGGAATAATCCCAAGTTCTGTAATCTATCATCGTAAGGTTTTTATTTTTCAACCTTATCACCCATTTCGTTGCTCGTCTCTGCACTCGATCAAAGAGATTTACATCTCTTTCAAGCAGAGGGGGTGCGATGACGTTTTGAATCCTCAGGTGTGGGTGCGCGTATGTCCTAAATAATGTTAAGAATAACTATGGGGAGATAGCGCCAAGTTGTCTGGGCATAAAGTGAAGAGTCGCATTTGCCTTGGCTGAGTCCCCTATATAGTTCGGACTTGTGTGGTTATTAAACAGAGATCGCGCTCTGAAGAGGCATTAGGGAGCGGACTCTAATTGAGGGTTTAAATCGTTTGCATCGTGTGAGGAAGAATATGAATGATGTGGCACTTAGGTTTTCACTGCCCATTCCTCAATAGATGCAGGGTCCTTTTGAAGTTCAGTCGAATCCTCTTCGCTTCTGATGGAACTCCAGATCTTCACATCATCTGCGTAGATTGCAGAATCTATTTTGAAGGTTTTGTTTTTGGAAAATCCCTCCATGTATATATATTTGTGTTATGATATGACTGACTCTTCTGTTTGATATTTTGGTACTCTATTTGATTCCATTTTGAGATTTTATCATTTGTATCTTGTTATTATTTCTATATCTTGTGCTTATATCGAAGTTTTTATGTTTCCTTCTGAACTATACATATGTTGTTTAAAAGTGATACTTAATATGGCTACAACCATTTTCGGATTTGATACTCTCACAGTAACTGACTGGAAGCACTTATTCTTCCAGCAACGGAACCTATTGTGGTAATTGGAAACTAGAAGGTGTAATATCGTTTCGGTAATTGTCTGAATTTCCTTTTTTGATTAAATATAGAACCGTTCTCTCCCAGAATTATCGTTTTCGGACTTGAACTAGGTGGGACGCGTATGAACCTACACCTATCGTGTTGGAGTGAACTGCAAGAGTAAATTATAAATTACCATAGATCACTGCCGATGAGCTGACTGAGCCTAACAAATCGTTAATAAATATCAGTAAGAGAAGTGGACCTAAGGTGTCTCAATATCCATTACACCATCCAATATCTTTTTCACTAGCTAGTATAAACCAACTGATTTCTTTGCACCCTATTCTTGTTCTTTCGTTACGGTTTCAGGTACTTCGGGGTGTATAATGGATGCTAAACCAGCCACTCGACTGCACTAATTCTATTCATCTGGCAGTTGTTTGTGAATTTGAATGTCTCATGACATGAGTGAGCTTGTTTGTTTCAGGTCAGCAGGGTTTCTGTATACCAGCAGCGATTACATTACCAGTTCGGAGATCAACTGATTGCAGTGTAGTGAATAATAAGGAGAGACTTTTTATACTAATTAAAAAGCGTCGGAACTAAATAAACGAGTTAATTAACTGGTAGTAAAGAGTGTGTGATTGGACAAACGTGTGAGCAAGGAAGCGAAAAAGGATAGGTTATTGATATGATAAAATGACAGTAATAACAACTAACAAGCTTCAAGACATGCATCAGGTTGGATCCTTCCTATCTCCTCCTTTTCAGCTGTGAGCTGATGTGACCCGAGCAAATGCCGAAACATTTCGCTTATCGGTGAACTGACTGCTTTTGCAAACTGTTTTAAGATTAGAGGACGAATACTGTCAAGCCATGGTGACTTTCGTGGGAGCAGATATTTGAGTTTTCTAAGCACTAAACTAGAATGGAGGGATATTTTCCCCGGCCATCACCTAGCACTGGGTGTTACATCCAGTTTTTTGCTCGTTGATCTTACGAAGCACGGTTGTCGACTATTTGTAATTCACGGTCCCAAATTTCTAAACCAAGAACGAAACTCCAAAGTAGATACCAAAGTTTATTCCACCAAAATTACTGTATTACAAATAGACGACCAATGTCGTTCTTCTAATTTATTAGCTCTTGGAGCAAAAAACTGCAAACGAACAACAAGGAGAAACGGGAGTCCAAAATGTCCGCAAAATAATAATTCAAACAAGTTCACAAGTTAAGTAAAACAAATGTACCCAAAAACAGTGAAATTAATGATATTTATACATGAAGGTTTTGATCAGCAAAGTGTCTTCGTTTCTCCCGTAACACTGGGTTTCAGCAGTACTCTGAACTCGTAGGTACCTAGTTTAACAAATTGGGGAAGTTGACAATTGAAAACTCAAGTTGGTAAGATCCCCGTTTATACCACTGAGAGCACAAAACACTGGTGTGCAGGTTTTCTTTTGGTCATGAACCTAGACCTGTATTCTGACAGCTCACTTCGTCTAGAAGTGTCTCTTATTGCTTCGAAACTTGACATTACATCTGTCTCTAAATGTCAAATAAGAACTTCGGTCAGAAACCCTTACAGAGACTTTCCACGCTAGGCTCTTCCTTTCACCTGTTTCAAGCCTTCAGTGCCCCTTGTTCTTCCCATCGATTTGGCTGGGATACATCGTTAAGGACAGAATTCTCAAATAGCACCTCTTAATGTTTCTCAGTGGTTATCTACTGTCCAGTCTTCAGTAATAAGGTTAGGTCCTTTGACCTATATAAATCAATCCGTGGTATTCGTAATACTGTAAGGATTTAATGTCGCTTTGAAGGTATAGTGGCATACTTTTACGAAGATAACACAATTGCTGAAATGGAAACATTTATTATGAGACTTAATTCTAACAATAATTGTTCTATTGTACTCCTTTCGTTTAACTGTACTAAAGACTATAACTCTCGCCAAGCGTGTCATTCCCATTCCGCTTCTCTCCTCGGTGGTTGTTAGCCGCTTCCTTATTCCGGTCTTGATATTATTTCGATATCAAAAGTCCACGGAACAGTTTACTTCTTCGTCCAGATACTATCTGCGTTCTGATTTCTGGATCAATCGGGATTTAACTTGATAATCTCGCCAAGAAAGATAGTTCTTTATCTCGCTGCAATTGGTGAGCGACGACTACGAACACGCACCAAATACGGTGAGTCTGTCATTTTTCTATCCACTTTTCTTACTATTTTAACCCGAAATGACTGCAGGTACACCCACCTTGTACAAATATTCGAACCATAGAATTGGTTACGCACTTAGGTGGTATAAGCAAGTGTTATATTCATATGATTTACTTTAATTTTAGTGGTCAGTACGAGTTTTATTTTGACATACCACTGTATTGACCACCTCAACATGACAGGTTGAGTAGTGCTTTGGTTGTTTATATACACTTGGTTATATATATACACTTCACTTCACAGAGGAAGCAAGACACCACCCCTATTCCTAAAAAGACCAGTAAGTTAGTTAAGAATAGGAGGAAAAGACGCTCCAAGGCTCGGTCGACACAGAAACAGCATAAGGACGACTGTTTTGCCTCCTCATCTCCAGTCAAAATCAGCGACCATGCTTTCGAATGCAATTTCTGCAGTACATGGGTACATTGTCACTGCGACAATACAGCACCTAAAGAGTACTAAGGTTTCATGCTAAGTCACCCCTGCCTATGGTTCTGGTACATCTTCCCTCGGTGCAGAGTTTCTGAGGCACTGACAAAGCCACAGGTCTCACCTAAAACCAGCCCTCAAGTCCAAACGACCAAAGCAAAATCGCCTGGCACTAAACCGGTAAAACAAGTGACCAAGGCTACAACAACCCTGCCTAACACACCGACAAAACTGCCGGTTGTTGTTAACGCCCCAGTAGCTACCAGCAACAGGCAACAATGGGTAACCGTGAAGAAGGGAAAGGGAAAATGGTTATTGTTCTTTGATTGTTGATAGCGGCAAATTTAAAGTTATGTCGTACATTCTTCTGTTTGTGTAGGTAGTTTCCTGCAAAACTTTTGTATTTATCGTTTGACGTTCAGTTATTCCGGTATTGATTATTTATAACGGTTATTCACTAGGTTCAATCCGCTAGCATTTTTAATGCTATTCTGATCTCTCTGTCGGCACAAATCTCGGAATCCTAGTCTATTATATATTCTTATATATTCACAGGTTTACATCCATCAGTCATCTTAAGCTCTTTATGATATTTATCTGATTTTATTTTAAAATTACACCCAGTTACAGGTTCAGATAATTTTTTCTAAAACTATCTTGTCTAGCACTTCTTAGTCGTTAAAACTGGCGAAACGTATACAAAAGATAAAAGTCACAGGAGGACTGATAATACAAATCGAAGTATATGTTTGAATTTGAAAAAGGAATACAAATATGGATATGATTAGTTGATGTAAACTTCAGTTAGTCAAAAACTATTCAGAAGTTGGTATATACGTACATAAGCCCGAGTTTCTGTATCTCACTAATCTAAAGAGATAAGATTATCAAGCTGAATTCCAAAGTAGTTGATGCGGTAGCAGTATCGATGATAATAGAAATTAGGGATCGCAGATTACTTACTCACGCCTGTTACCCCCCAACAAGCACAGGCCGCCGATCAGTATTCTACAATCTGCTTTGTCCTCGGCCTCCCTTACCAGTTCTGTCCAATCTTCGTTCGTTCTTAAGTCTATCTCCGTTTCTCGGCACAATGTGTTTCTTGGCCTTGAGGGTTCCATGTGAGGGCTTGTCTTGTGACTTAATCAGGTGGCTTCTGCAGTGTGTCCCATCCACTTCCACCGCTTCTTCCTGATTTTCTCTGCTGGAATCTGGTTTATTCTATTCCACAGTTGATTGTTGTTGACTGTATCTGGCCGACAGATCCGAAGTATTTTGCGTAGACAACTGTTAATGAATACTTGTATCTTCTGGATAATGGCCTTGGTAGTCCTCCGAGTTTCCACTCCACTGTAAAACGTAAGAAATTTGCCGGATTTTCAATCGTTACGTCTTATTTTACAAGTCATGCAGTCTCATAATATGATGAGAAATATGGTATGTAATACTCTCTAATTAGAATGTCTGTTCAAGATGGAAGCATCACGTTGCTGAGCTCGTTTACCGCTGTCCACAAGCTTAGCCATCTTGTTATTCTAGCGACTACTACTAAGGCTCTTAGAAACTGTATGAAGTGAAGTGAGGTGACGGTTTTCATTTAGTTTCAGTATAAGCATCTTCACACTAAAATTACGTGGATTACTTGTTTACTAGTTGTGCACTTTATGATTTACACTGTGATTTATGTATGTCATCTGAGTTTCGCTCCGTTCAGGAAGTATCACTGTACTTGCTATTTATCCTCATGCTTCATTACAGTAAACAGACTCACTACTTCTGCCTAATTTTGTTTCACTTTAAATAAGTATTTTACAAGATAGAAGTGATTTAATTAAATTGGAAATGACCTGTTTTTTAGGGTCAATACAGAGTGCATCAGATCGAGTTGTCATATTCTCCAAAAGTATGTAGATAAGAAGTCAGCAATAATGACAAATAGTCGAGTAGGCAATAAAGATATAAATCCATAAAAAAGAGATTAACCTAAAATAATATAATATTCAGGATTTAAAAGATGCGCTATGAGCTATTTGTTGTATCCCTAGCTTATCAGCATGTGACTTAACGAGAACCATTTTTTAAATTGGAAGTTGATTAATGTTACCTATGGAATTTTGTATTAACAGTCAAAAGAAATTCTGGTCAATGGATTATCATTTATTGGAACGGTAACTTCAACTGTAAAAACAACTATCCGTTTCTACTTTAGCTGTTACTTTGTGTTCTACATCTTCACTGTTATCAGTCATAAATAACTTTTTCAAGGTATTTTTACCTTGTGATGGCTGATGAAGTAGTGAAAGATCCTAAAACCAATGATGATGTCCAAATGGATGAAGACCGTCTTAATGAAGAAGACTACCAGGAACCGGATTGTCGTAGCGAAAACATTTCAGAAGAACTTACCGATACAGAAATCGAGTGTTTGAAAAAGGAATTACAGTCTGAGATTTCAGAATTGGAATGGGAATTTAAACAAGCAAAAGAGTCGCTATACAATGAACGTATAATGCAAGTAGAGAATAAACTAAATCAAGCAAAAATGGGTACTGCACCTGAATTTCTTCATGTTCTATCCTTAGTTGAGGAGACATATAAAATTAGATTACAGGTTTGTTATATTTATTTTACTGATCATTCTTAAAACTATATTGAGATATGATATTAGTTAGGGATAGTGAACAGTTTTACTGTCCAATTACGACACTTATTGTTATCATTATGTTTTATGTCCTCCTTGACGAATTCCAAAATCTGGTTGCCCAGTGACAATTCATCTATTTTAATATTATAACCAAATTTATGAACCTCCATTAATCTGATTGCGTGCTACCAAAGCTGTCATATTGCACCAACGAAAGAGATAAACATATGTTTTACTTTTGTGTGTGATCTAGCTGTCCTATTCTATTCTAAAATAAACTGATTATTTTTGCACTTACCTAATCTTGCTTCACTTTTCAAACACAAAATACTATTTTCGTTACATTATATGCGGCTGAGAGATTAAACTACAGAATAGTAGTTTTCATCCTTAAGGTGCATAGTTTAACGACTTTTTGTTATGAACAGCTTTATTTTCACTCTGAAAGCATGTCAGTATTTGAATCTTTTTCACTACATTCGCCTACATCTTTTGATATATAAATGAGAGTGGTTAAAATAACCTGTGTATGCATTATAATTAGTTATCCACTAGTAATAAGGCAAAAACGACAATATGGATCCAAAGGTTCATTTGAATTTTGTTGTAAAACTTTTCTCCTGTGGATTAGCACAATATGTTTTGATTGAAAGTGAATTACTATGTTTTAGTTTCTAAAACAAAAGTACTGTAGTGAAATAGTAAAGACCTAAAACATGATGTTCACATTCCTGAAATGTAAATGTTTTCAGCGACCATACTGTTTTCATTTCATAAATGATGCCTTTTTAACGCTATTTTCACGTTGCCTTTCAACCTAGTTTAGTAGTAAATACGACAGCAAATTAAAACTTATGTAATACAGATGACGTAATTATGCTTGTTGAACAATGTTTATTTCATGAGTGTTTTCGAAATATTTCTTGCTTATCGTAAAACGACCGAGTGAGCTAGTTGGGATTAGGCATATTATGTTAGGCAAAGGTAACAAATCAGTTGTTGGGGTTTTAAATCCTTATCAACTAGAGTGGTTAGGGTTTATATTACTCATACTGCCACCATCTGCCCTGAGGCGTGTTTTTCTGGTGTAAAATTAGGTCAGAAGAAAAAGATTCAGTTCATAAAGACACAGATTGTGCCTTCAAGAAATATCGACAGATTCACGTAGTTACAACAATCAATGGTTGGTAACTTGAAGTAACATGCCTTAGTCTTTTTTCACTATAGTCTAGATACATTCACTTTTGGTCTTCCGTTCTTGAATTTTTGCATTCCTATATCGGATTACATTCCCGGTGTTGAGTCTGACTCTTTATTATTACTAACACAAAATCAATTCCTTTGCTATTCATCTTGTTGATTTCATTTGGTCGTGGTAAATGGGGTATTGGTAAATTGAACTAAATCACAACTGCCAGTTTCTGTGTTGATGATGGCTGCACATAACAGCGTTATTCAGAGGTATTATTTTAGTCTTGGACTTTGACGATGTCGTTCGTATTCACACGTTTTTGAATAACCTAAATTAGAATTTTATCAATGTGAAGTCATAAATATACTTTAGAAAAATCATTCTTGCTTATATTATACTTAAAGTTAAGGTTAAATACATGACTCCTACATTGACTTGCTACCGTGAAATAACTGCATAAATTCGTAGAATTGAAGTTGAAGTTGTAAATGTTGGTTCCACGGTTTGAATTATCCTTGTCGTCCTTTTAGTAAAAAAAGTATCGTCTGTTCAAAATTGCAAAGTTTCGAAAGTATCATTACTTGTAGGTTTTAATTTTAAATTGGGGACTACAGAAACACTTCAGGTAATCTTTGAAAACTATTCAAAGCATACTTTACATCACCAAATGTTTGTATCGTACTAGCTATATTTTTGAAAATTTCAAAAGAAAACAAATCAATAGATTTGATTGTACGCTTAGCTTGATCATTCCAAACAATAACCATTGTATTTACTAAGTATTTTTGCTGTACACTTGATAAATTTTATGTTTGTGTCCTTGAAATATAACTGAATCGCCTTATGTTTCTTCATTAAGATTATCACATACCTTTTTAAACGTTTTAAAGTTTAAAGATATAAGTAGTTTTCTACTTTTCCGAAAGTGTTTTTTATTATGTTTTGATAATATTACATGAAAAACATTTTAAGGTCGCAAAACATAGAATGGAATTTGCTTTGGAAATAACTAACAAAGAGTTAGATAACGAGTTACAAATCATTCAATGTGACGTTAATGAGCGATTATTAGCAGCAGAAGAACAAATTCGACTAAATCTTCAAGAGAGTTTGTGCAAACTTCAGTATGAACGAACCGCCCACGAAAGAAAAACTTCTGAAGGTGAGAGTATCGATCTAATTTAATCCATCATGTATATTTTAAAACAGTATTATTTGGTCATTTGTCAAGAAGCAACTAAACTGTATCAAGTGAAATGCATCCCTCTCAAACTGTCGTAACTTTTCACTGTTCAAACATTCTCACTAGCTTATGAATGTATGTGTGAGATCGGATGAGAACTGGTGTTTCTAACGTGGTATGGTAGCTGACAACTGGGCTGAGCCATGTTCGTAGGTGTTGACTACCTTGTTGTAGTCAGCGAGACAATAGTAACCGATGGTCAGAGACCTTGAACGACATGGCTCAAAATCGTTTGCAGTAGCCCAAGTGGATCCATCTTTTGTCTTCTTTCGGGACCTTTCTTATCTTTTTAAATTTATTGAACTGGATTACACTTCTTGAATAATTTCTTCGAACCGTAATCTTTTCCATTATCGCTAAACTCCTTCTACCTTTACTACCATGGGATTTGAATTGACAGTTCGATCTCTGTGCTAATGTGGTACGGCAACTTGAACTGATGTACGTTGTAGCTGACTGACTGATCAATGTATTTTTAATACAAGTGACAGCATCTGTCAGTATCAATTTATTTCATTATTGAACTAATAACAAACTGGATTCCTAATGAGTTGTTATGTATTTGCTTGTTTTTATAGTACTTTCAATCATTTCACTATTTAATATAGTACAATTTCTAAAAATATTTTTTTTGTTTTGTAATCTCCTGATCCTAAGCCTAGTACCATCGATATTAGTGAACTATAATTACAGATTATGTTTTATCAATTCACAGTAGCTAGTGTTAAAACTGAAAACGTGTTTTGTTCTGCCTTTGACTCTACTTGTAATTATGCTTGCATTTAAGTTATTACTTTACTTAACTTATTTCTCATAAGTCAGCAAAAAGCTGATCAGTTAGTCATGTGCAATCTTGAATCTAACAAATATATATGATTAGGCTTAAGTTATCCTACCACATTAGCATAGTGAGGTTAAGTTATCAGAACAAATCCCAGAGTGCTGGAAGTAAAATAATCGTGTTTTTCTAACATCTTTTTGTTTTATCTTTGCCTGTTTTAAAAGACAGATCAATACTTTTCTACTTAAACTACGCTTGTGAGACTAGTTCCCAATCCGGTAAACAGTTCCGAAAAATGGCTTCATTAATTAGCATTTCATGACAGTGACTTTTATTTAAGTTCCAATTACATTAAAGCAATCACCATTTGTCAATAAAAGTCAGTCAGTGGCGAACCTTGTGTACTTTAAAATGACATAACACATCCAGTTAGTATGCATTATTATGAACTGTCAATATATTAGAGGGGTGCAAAGATTTAAACCTCTCTTTTTTTCCTTGAACTACAACCGTAAATTCTCGCAGTTAAAATTAAAGACAATAACACATGTAATCATGTTAACTGAAAAAAAATTAGTACTATCAATATTGTCGGTATAAATGTTTACTCCGTAGTTATGGTAGGAGGAAAATCGTAGAGAATACTGTCATACTATAAATATGATTGATTAGGATCATCCACTGGATCGAATCCTTGAAAATGTAATATTGTTTTGTCGTATGTATAAGATATAGACACGTTTTTTCTTAACATAATTTACCTTCGATTTAATGTGAAATAAATTAGCTGTGAAGTTATTCCTTGCAGTTTTCGAACATTTTTTGCACATTCTTAATATTGTAATCTTATCTTGCGACACAGGTTCTTGGATTGTAGGATTACATCTGAAGCGTTTCTTAGCTTTAAATATTTATCTATACGCTAATGATGCATTTTATTTCAAATTAAGTATTCTCTATTCATGTATAATCTAGTTTCAGAAAAAGAATATATCAAGTCCTCTGATCAATATGATAATTATCTTCCTAGTCCAAATCTTGAACCTCGAAAGAAACCAGTTACACTCTCCCCATCTACTCCTAGACTTATATATCAAATACCTGAAAAAGATATTCGTTCAGATGTTGAATTAATTTTAGCGGCTGTAAAGGTAAGTTAAAATAGAGCTTTAGAAAATTTTTAGAAAATATGTACTTTTTAAAATAACACATAGTGAATATTTTGTAAACATGTGTTCGGAGTTTTCTAAGCTTTGATATTCTCTAATTGTATTGCATTATCTTACATACAGATTCTAGTGATTGGGAAAAAGTTAAGATATTGTTCAAAATATTTCAACTTGGAAGTATACATGCCGCACTTATCTGGTTGGTTCATTGCGACCAGGCTTATTGATCAGTACAATGGTTTCTATCGTATAGTCATTTCCGTTACCAATAAACCTTTCCATATCAAAGATGCCAGTGTTAAGTACTTCACAGACTTATGCAAAAATTGAATAACCTCTTAATGTTATTCCATCTTTCAATCAACACAAACACAAATTTTCCGACGGTTCAATGTAATTAAACTGGGATAAATTTCTTTCATTGAGGTCGATACATTTTGATCGCCTTAACTATTCCATTTACTATTTTCGTGGGTTAGAATAGTCTCTTCTGAGTTCAAACAAAATTAAATGTGAATACACATGGTTATAGTCTAAACAGTTTTTGATAAAAGTGACTGCTTTCCATTTGTTTGTCTAATTATTTATTATTTTACATAACTCTCAAGTCGAGTGTATGTACATCATATTATTTTACTTGACAAACTTCTGGAAGCAAATTATGTTCGGTGCACAGTTTTAGCAGATGTTTACAATTTTGTTTCGTTGATATAACTTTCCAAAGGTACCAGCTAATCCTTCTATTTGACTTTGTATATGCTTCGCTTAAGTCTTAACGTTTGTATGTTTAACTTCCTCTAGAGAGCTTAACAGCTCTCTGTGGAATTCACCCTCTGATATTCTCAAACGTCAGCTGCCAATGGCACATTATTTCTATTATCTCGATTCCTTTCTCCTTCTCAGTTTCCTTATGTTGAATTCAAGTGCAGTAATTCGAACCGGTACATATTTGGTCTAGGTTTTGTACTGCTTATCACTAATTGACAACTAAAATTAAAAGCATCCACAAGTGTTCAGTTCCTCATATTCTTTTTAAAAAACATAATTTTATCTGAAAATACACAAGACAGTCAATTGCATCTCGCTCTTATGTGTAAACATTACACATCTCGTCTGTGGTACAGGTAAGGCTTTTTTCGTCTCTCGAAGAGTAAACAAAACTCCAAGTCGTTTTCCCATTATTGCTCGACGGATGTTAAATATCCCTTTCAAAGTTGCTTAGAACAACAGTCAACTTAATTAATGTGGCTTAAAATAGGTTAATGCATCAACAAACATAAAGGAATAAAGACAGGCTACTACTTACTATACTCTTTATTAAATGAGTGAATATCTCACCTTTATATCGATGGCTAAAGTTGACAAAAATTGAATAAGCTTTTGATATTCGTTTTTTGTAATCGTCTGCACTAACTTCAAAAGAAAAACGACTATTAGTTGAATCAATCTACTTCAAATCAATAGGTTGCACGATTCACCCTGTTCCACCAACGTCATTCTAGAATCCCGGGTAGTATAAATAACCTTCACATAAATAAAATTGCTTTAGGAAACGTTCATGAACCTGTATTTGCTTAATGGGTTGTTTTATGCACAGTCAGAAATGTAGTTAGCTCACCAGGATTAATAAGACCACAATAATGCATCATGAAATACGTTTCCTTGTATATGTAATCTGTTTATTCTAAAATCAACTTTTGTGTCGTTATTGAACACTTAGTAGACGTCTTCTCTTTTTACCAATGTATATAGAAGCTAAAAGTTTGTCTCATGGTTTAAAGAAGCCTCATACAAAAGTGCTGGGAATAATATGGCATCAATAATATACATAACAAACAGAGTGCTTCATTGATGATTTCCTAATGAACTTTACTCCTTACAATTCGTCATGTGTAGTAACTTCTACTGAAATGTATTGTGATTCGACTCAACCAAACTGGTTGTTTGACCACTTGACCTGACATTTTTATTCTTATATCGGATATTAGTTTTCTTTATCAGTATAGGGTTGTGGAGATTGTAAGATTTTATTGAGACCACGAACCGATATAAGTAAGATAGCGATTGAAAACCTCAAACCACCGGATGGACTTTTGGTCCTAGTATGAGACTGTTCAGTAGTGTACATGCACACACTGCAACAGCAAATCTAACTGAAGAGATCTGCTTTTGCGCGTAAACGCGTAATCTTTAGATGACTGAACCAAGATCCAGTGGTGTATCAATTCGGAGTCCGTCAATCTATGATATTGCACGACCGTCTTTTATTGCCTTCAGTGGATAACTTCCTCACACCCCATACGGTCAGACCTTACTGATTACGGTTTCTTAGTGGCACTCAGGAAATTTTCACCCGTAGCTAGTCACTAATGTACATATGATTCCAAATTTTCGATGGCTGTATAAGTTAGATCAGTTCGGGATCTTAATAATAACCACCTTTCTGGTTTTACTAATTTCCTGTTTTGTCAAGTTGTTCAGTTATCTTGCTATTTATAGTTTTTGTGTTTAGTCTAACTGGTCTGATTATATTTGTATTGCTATTGGTTTTGTTTCATATCTAGTATACTTTAATACCTTTTCTCATTTTCAATATAGAAACATAAATTGGCCTTTGCTATGTCACAGCTTAAGAATGGAAAAATGAAGTAAATGCCAATCCCTATGTAAAGAATGTATATATGTATTATCTCAGAATAGTTGGATTTCTGTAGGTCATGTACTTTATGTGTGTGTACTATAATAAGATGGATAGAATAAAATAAGAAAGATCACACGTCAATTTTTCTGCTTTTATAAAGATTATCATGCTAACATTCACTTGTGGCTCGACTGATCAGCAGTTAATTGCTTACAAAAACATCACAAAACGAATAATATTTGGTTTGAATATCTTTGTTGTCGATCTGCTTCATATTTTTGTTACCCGTCAGTTTTTTGGCGCTTAATTACTCCTAATATTGCGAACTATGCCCATGGTCGAGTAGGAAACATACTTTTTATGAGTGATCATTGTTCATTAGTTATGAAAAAATACTGATGTCGTACAGAGGTTTCCTAATTTTTTGATTAGTCATGGCTAACAAAGCAACCTATGGACGTTTATGTAGAAATAGAGAGGGGGTAGAAACCGAGTCCAGGATGTGCCCGTTGCGTCCTATTTAGGAGACATTCTTAGTATACAATCATTAGAAACTACACGTCGTTTTAGCTAAAAGTTGCACAAGTTTATTCCTAAGCCACTTATTAGTGACATGATTTCTTATACTCTATGTTTGATACATACTGCACTTGACAAGATCAGTAGCGCCGCGCAGAATTCGCCTGTTAGGATACCAGCTAATTGCTCTTAATGTTTTGGACTCAAAGTCTTGCGCCTGAATTCCTGTCCAAGTGCTAATGATACTACCTGATCAAATTAGTTGAGCTGGGGTTCGAACCTACAACCTAGTGGCTGATTTAAGTACCTCAAGACACACCATGATATTCAGGTATCTAAAGTAGTTAATTTCCATTGACATTGTTACTGTAATAATAAGTGATATTTGTATCTCCATATATTTCATTATATATTATGATTTATAAATAACTTGAATTATCGCAAACTTTGTGCCACTTATATAAAACGGACTTCAAGGTTTCTTCCGACAATACACAGGGGTGCCAAAATTCTTTCTCGGTACTGTATTATTTTGTATATCAGTTGTTTATCTTTAGGTTCAATATATATGGGGCGGTAGCCTAGTGATTAAAAGGTTCAAACCTCGACTTTTAGGTTCAACTTCAACTTAGTTAGTCACAGTTAGTCAGATTCAACGTAGAACTTCGTACGTAAAGTTAGTCTCATGTATTGTATCAATAACCTTCACACCTAATGAATGACTGAAAGCCAAGTACAGTGTAACCTAGGTTTGTGTCTAATTAATGGACATGTAAGATTAAAGAATGAAGACCACTAAGTTGACAAGTCTGACGGTAACTCCTAAGACTATAGGCTCATCGTAGTTTTCTGAACGACGAAAATTGATTCGATGTGTCGATAGCATGTATTTTTTCCTCGTTTGAAATAACCGAATACAATAAATACATAGTTAATTTTATAATTTCATAATTACAATAAGATACAAGTGTTCAATCTCCATTATAAAAGTATGAAATCAATATGTTAAGAAGTCTTCTCGGCCAACGTAAGACACAGCAAAATCTGCGCCATTTGCAGTTGGTTCAGAAAAAGCTGTCTGTGTACGAGAAAGTGGTAAACCATATATCAAATTTTCCAACACAGCATCTAATAAACTTGTGGCTATACCACTTCGACGATGTTTACGTTCTACCCATATCCTCCGAATGCCACAAATTGGTCCGTTAATGTTTACACAAGAGAGGTTTGAACTTGAAGGGATTAAATCACGTTGATTGTAGTTTTGGTCGACACTCTGTATACTCCAAGATAGAAGACTTTTTCGTCCACCAACCAATCTGCTCAGTTTGTAACCCTTTGTCGATACTTTCTTTGCAGTTAATTCCTCAACAATACAGCAGCCCACAACTAATTGCGTTCGATCTATTACGTAAACGAAAACCCGCCAGTCAGGAAGTAAAGTATTAGACAACTTGGTATAATGGGGGTTAGTGTCTTCTGGTGGTACATCGTAACCCAGATCATGACTCATTAGTGTTGATATCCGTTCGTAAAAGGATTGTCCTTGCCGAAAAGTAGTTAGCAGTTCAGTCACTCGAGAACCATCGAAATTTTCCTTGATGATCTTTTCATGGCGTCCTCTTGGTAGCTAAAACAACAATACAAGAAAACTAAATTGTATGTTGCTATTATCGACAGGCAATTACTTTTTACTTTAACATTATCGCCTTTCAATGATCACTGAGTATCTTGAGGAACAAATGTCTTACGTCAACTGATGAAAATATGATAAAAGAGTGTGTAAACGAGTTCAGAATACTTGACGAAGACACAATTATATAAATTCGACACTGGCTTATATCATCATGGTTTGGTCTGAATGTTTATAGGCATTCTCACCATAATTGCATATGACACATTGTAGCAAAAAATATATAAATCAAAAGGGAGGAGAATAATTAGTCAAGTGAGTCATGTCACCTCATGTCTCCAATGACGAATCTCTGCTAACGTCAGAATCCCGATTCGAATGCCTGGAAGTTGATGTACTCTTTAAACCAACAGCATTCGATGGTACAGACGGGTGTCGTGTTTCGATTCAACTACCATTGAACCTTTTTAATATATTTCCCAGCAAGTACTTTATATTAAAATAAGTTGTAACTTGAACGGATATGTTATTTACTTTAGCTAGATTACAGAAACTTCAAAAAGAGATAGACCTTGGTTTTCTGCATTCATAGGTATGGAACCATATATTATGATATGGTTTTATAGCTTGTCTTTGGATACACTTTTACCTCTAACGACTGAAGGATGGAAAATGCATTTTGATTTCGTTAAGCTATTGGAAGTTGGACGAAAACTCTGGATATCAAACTAACAGAGTACTTTGTCGAGTTACGATTGTTGGATTAGAAATGCATGTCTGCTACGATTGGCATAATATTTTGGAGTGTAAAGATCCAATATACTCTGATCGCCCCTACACATGACTACTGAGTTGCCCCCGAATGCCGTGGTACAACCGAAAAGGGAGAGTCTGCTTCCCCTTTCGGAAAGCTCTCATATAGCCGCCGCTAGTCAAGTCCTACTTACTCATTTCTTGTTGAGGGGATGTTCTTTACGAAAAGCAAGTGTCAGACGCTTAAACTGTATTGGTGGGTACAGAGGACCCACTCAGAGGAGATGAAAAACCGTGATTCCAAACCAATGTTGCACATGGGCTCCAGGATCGTGGTGGAACGAATAGTGTATGAATCTACTATTGATCACTGGCTACCATAGAACTGCATCTCCTAACATGGCTGCCTAAGTGACTACAGTCATAGTCGTTTACAGTATACCAGCTCGATACTTTAGTTGACTGTTGAGTTTCGTATTGTTTGCAGACGTAATTTGTAGTAATTAATGCATAGAACTGTGGAAACACGAGATTATTACCTAGTTAAATACTCGAAACACCGGTTTCCATGGTAAGCGGGTCATTCGGGCCTAACACCTGAGAGATGCATTGAGTTCATTTTGTCAAAAGAAAGCTACTTAACAGTTGAGACTCTTTCAGTCAAGAAGAGAGTTAATGAGCTTAGATCGATACTACCTATCACCGATCAAAACCTTTGCGAAAAACTAAGGACAATAAACTTATAAAATCAGATGAAAGTGTCGAAGGATATTTTCAAAAATGAATGTATTTGATATGATGGGAAAGGCCATAGAGAGTGTGGCCTGCTTAATTGATTCCCCGTAATCGCCTTTACTTGCGTGTTTTTTTCTGTTGACAGTACATAAGTATGTGATTTATCATATAAAGCCTACTCTACCAAACAGCCGTCTTTTAGTATTTTACCAACTGGTGGCTCGCGTCAATAGTTCCGTTTCATGATCTGTCATCAATTAGTCACATCTTACAACGGTATTTTATCTATCGAGTAGAGCTCTTCATGTGTTTTAACAATTGAAAACTGGTTTACATTATACAAGCCGCCTCTCCTTAACAGTATCTGTGCCATAGCAGCCAATTTCGGGTTGTCTCTTAGTCCCCAACTTTGTTTTGATTAGCATTAAGGGAATTTATAATCTAGGATGAGGTCCAGGTCAAAAGTTGACGACATCATGGACTAATTTTACGTTTTGATATAACTGCTACAAGTTTTTTTAAAACTAAGTCGTATGCTAACTAACAGTTTGTTGGAGTATGTGATGGTTGAGCGTGAGTAACTAGTGTCCTGAATACTTTAGTTGGTGAGTGAGTGACTTTTTGATTGATTTACTAGGTCTAACCCATCACTTGACGCTAAATAAAAGCTTCGCTTACGAGGTTATTCAAATATAAGTAATCCAAACGAATTGCTGATAAAAGGACAATCAATTGGGTCAAATGCCTAAAAGGCTGAATCAGTATTTGACGTAAGGTGTGAACCTGACAACAGTACGAAGGTATAAGCTGCTGGTTGGAATACGGGTTAAATAAGACAGACCAAAAGAGTGTGAACTGAATATAAGGTACCAAAATATAGTGCAGCAGTGATTTTGAGTGCTAAATTTCGACTTCGAAAGTTTACCGACAACTTGTAAAGGGTGATATGAAAGATAAGTAGGTTACATTTCCAACTTCTTGACCTATACTTTAACATGACCTGTAATGATCGCATTACATGTAAATATCTTGTTTATATCAGTATATCAGTAAAGAAATGTGAGTACTGAGATGATAAAAACCCGTTATATCCTAAATAAAGCACGTTGTTTGACATGACCGAATATTCTACACTGTTAGTATGTTAGCCTATACTAAGCAACATAGAACCTGATGTTTAAATGTGGAAATAATGGCATGTAAATCACGATAAAGTATCTCAGTTATATTTGTGTTAAACATACATGAATAACTTGTATAGAATAAATGTTTCAGTATTCAACTAACCATCAAGTACTAATCAACCAATAGCAACGTAGAACTTCGTACGTACGTACATCAGTTCATGTTGCCGTACCATATCAGCACAGAGACACAATTGTCAATTCAAATCCCATAGTAGTAGAGGTAGTAAAAGTATTAGAAGTAATTGGAGAGATTAGGGTTCGAAGATGTTATTCAAGAAGTAGAATCTAGTGAAACAGACCTAAAAAGATAAAGTGATGAGGAATTAAGAAGTTCAGGATTTGAGAGAACGCAAAGAATGAATGCACCTGCGCCGCCGCAAACGGTTTTGTGCCATGTCATTCAAAGTCTCTAACCATCGATTACTAATATCTCGCGGACCCCAACCAGGTAATCGACATCTACCGATATGACTCAGTCCACTTGTCAATGACTTCATGGATTTCTCCTATGTTTTGGTCTGGCCGCCCCCACCTTCCGTCCAACCTATTCCTACATCGCAAAAAATAGTTCGACGAGGCAGTCGGTGGTTAGGCATACGCAACACATGTCCCAAGCACCTCAACTGATGAAGCTTCATTACTTCATCTATTGATCTGCCATCCAATGAATAAACCAATGTGAGTATCTTCATAAAACTACAGAATGCTTTTTGTTGCCTGTCGGTTCCTATTAACCTACTGATATTTTTAATTTTGTATTTTAGATTCGATCCCCGACTATAGCTGCTGCCTTGTGGTGGTCGGACTTGCCTATCGTAGTGACCTGACCGAGCTATATTGGCTGGAACATATGTTCCTGTAGGTTCTATCGTGCAATGCAGGTCGATTGGAGGACGATGAGACTAAAAGCAACTACTCAAGGTCTGAGGGTGAAGTCGTACTGCTGATTGTAGAGAGGTGTGACAGCAGTAAGTCTTTCCTCTCGGACAACCTGCATATGCAGCGATGCTGCCTTCTCACAAGGAAGGAAGGGGTTAGAATAGGTCGACCCTACAAATGTCACACCTTATCTCACGGATTTCGGTGTCTGGCGGTATGGCCTTCTGAACAGGAGCGTAGCTAATACTTTAAAAACTTCTCACGCTCTCAGGTCTCTAAGACAAACACTAATCTACCTTCCTTTTCAGGTTCTTCAAGAAACAACCTTATACGGTTTTGGCAGCCAGGAGTTGTTTTTCGCCCTCATACCCGTAACAGCACACTAAACCAAATCGGTCAAAATCAAATCCTTCCTACACCTAACATCTCTCTTATCTCCACGTTTCACCCTTCTCACGTCCTTTTAACACCTTGCACCATTAATGCAAACGACTCGAGTTCACGAAACGTTAATCCTGGTGTCCTGAAACCCCGCTTTTAATATACCTACAGTGTGTCGAACAGGACAATAGGCTTCCCTAGGTTTGACTCCAGAATCTCGCGCTATCGATGTATGCTGCGTCTCCGAAACGCGCATACAGGATCCGAGTATTGTCATTCATTTTACATCATGATGTCATTGACGAGTGGACTTAGCCATGTCGGTAATTGTCGAATACCTGGTTGGGGTCCGCGAGATGATAATAATCGATGGCTAGAGACCTTGAATGACATGGCTGAAAATCGTTCGCAATGGCGCCAGTGCATTTGTTCTTTGTGTTCTCTCAAATCCTAATCTTCTGGGTTCTTCAACACCCCTAGTTTTTACTTTCTAAACTTATCTCACTGAATCATACTTCTTGAATAATATCTTCTAATTCTAACCTCTCCGATTACTTCTAATACCTTTACTACCCCTTCTACTATTGGATTTGAATTGACAATTATACCTAGCACTCGTTTCCTAACAACAGCGTTGCTTACTCGGCTGTCCCACGATACACGAGCAGTGCTTTGGAGATACCTATGATCAAAATCCAGTAACCTACGAATATCTTCTACTCTCGCCGGCCATGTTTGACAGTCATAAAGTAGGACGTCGCCAACTACAACGCAGTAGACTCGTCCTTTAGTTAGCAAACGGATATCTCGCCGGCACCACAAGTGACGCCAGTTGGCAAAAGCCAATCAAACCTTCTGTATCCGAGCTGAGATTTCGTCAGTCACCAGGCCATCAGCACTGATGAGACTCTCCAGATACGCGAAGCGGTCTACACGTTCGACTACTTCACTCCCTATCACTAGTTCAGGTACCGATGTAACCCAATCTTGAAGCAACATTTTGCATTTCGAGGGTGAGAACCGCATCCCGAACATGCTCGCACTGTTGCTTAGGGTAGTCAGAAGACTGCATTTTTGTCAGCGTCTTCACCAAACAGAACTATGTCATCGGCATATTCTAAGTCAACCAATGAGTCTCCTGGAAGAAGGTCTACTGAAAATTCAGACGAGCATAATGTTATATTTAGGAGCATGTCTATGACAAAATTGAACAAGAATGATGAAATTGGACATCCCTGACGGACACCACTTGAAGTAAAGAATTCCGATGACAGTTCGCCATAAGCTCTAACTCGACCTGTAGTGTTCGAGTAGAGAGCTTGTATAAGGTTAATGTACTTCTTTGGTACACCTTTCAATGACAGACACTGCGCACAAGCGACTATCTACTGGGATCCAGTCTAGGTGAGATTGTTCAGCTCTACGACTAAATGCTATAACTACACCAGCGAGACCCCGGGAAGCAGCATCAGGGCTACCAGATACAGTAAATCGGGCTGCTTCTTTGTTTTGACAAGGCGAAATCAGATTAACGACTTTACTAGGATCCTGTATGCGCGTTTCCGAGGCGCTGCATACATCGATGGCACGAGATTCTATTGTCCTAGCTGCTCAGGAAGCCTGTTGCCCTATTTGACAATGTCCGTACATTAAATGCTCCAACATGTAGTATAGAACGAGGTTTAAGGAGACCAGAAATGACGTTTCGTGAATCTGTTCGTTTGCATTAGCTGTGCAGTGTGATAAAGGAATGTGAGAAGAGTTAGTCGTGGAGATAAGAGAGGTATTAGGGGGTGTGGGAAGGATTTGATTTTGACGAATTTGGTCTCGTGAGCTGTTACGGGTATGAGGGCGGTTGTCACTTCCCGGCTGTCCACACCGTGGAAGGTTATTTCTAGAGGAACCTGAAAAGGAAGATAGATTAGTGTTGGTCTTGGAGACCTGGGAGCGTGACCGCAGAGCCCAAGGGACGACTGTCTGAGGCCGGTTACGCACGGCCTTTTTATGAAGGGTTTTTTGAGTGTTGGCTCCGCTCTTGAAAGCCTTTAGTGGGCACCCTTACCCAAGGAGACGGAAATCCGTGAGGTAGGGTGGGGTGTGACATTTTTAGGGTCGACCTTTTCTAACCCTTCCTTCCTTGTGAGAAGGCAGCATCGCTGCAGATGCTGGTTGTCCGAGGGAAACACCTTACTGCTGTCACACCCCTCTGCGGTCAGCAGTACGACTTCGCCCTCAGACCTTGAGTAGCTGCTTTTAGTCTCATCGTTCTCCAATCGTCCTGCCTGGCATGGCAGAACCTTCAGGAACATAAGTACCAGCCAATAAAGCTCGGTTGGGTCACTACGATAGGCAAGCCCGACCACCACGTCAAGGTAGCAGCTACGGTCGGGATTCTCTTATGATATATGATGCATATCCTAACAATTATGCTTAGATAAGATTTTACCTTCATATTTAGTACTAGCTTAAGTAATGGTGTGAATATATGAGATTATACTTGCTTTAGTTTATAATTTTTTAATAAAAACGTACACATTCACGTCCGTCCACCACGTCAAGGTAGCACCTTCGGTCGGGATTCTGTTGCGTAGGCTTTATATCAGCCTGCACCTAAGCTGACTCTGCTCCTCATCGCACTCAGGGCCAGGCGGGATGGGTTTTCGAGCATCCATCAGTTCGGTAGATGCTACTGAGATCCACGGCTTCTTGTTTTATCTCAAAAGGTTGTAAAAACTAGGTCGTATTATCCATGCACAAAAGATGTAGTCTTTTATCTACTGTATAGATTAGTGGGTTGTTTCTGATAACTTAATTATGCATTATAACGCTACTATCTACTACACAGTAATTCATTTGTACCAGTAATCTGATATCTTACCCGCACAGTTGGAAATAATTTCATTTGATGATACTCCTTATGAGCCTTGACATCTTCTTTATCACCAACTATGTATACCATATGACATTGACGGCATCTAGTACTACCAAATTCCTTTTGTCCACAATCAAGAGTCAGTTGGATCTTTCTTTCTTGATTGAAGTATTTCATTACAGGATTAGATCATTACAAAATTGATTAGACACTAAAAAACAAAGTACTTGATTTGATTATGAGACAAGAGTAACCACGGTAAGATTTATTATTAATGCTACAGAATGCAAAGTGATGTTCATATTTCAGCTAGTGATACACACCCTAGGACGTGGCACATTTGTGCGTCGGTCGCCACACCTTATTAGCATAAGATGGTACTAAATGTGTTGCAAAATCGCATGGGTACTATAACCTTATTCGATTGTTTCAACAGAAGCTGATAATTGCTAGACAAAGCTATTCTGTAATCTAATAGCTAACAGTGTAATGTTAAAAGAGTAATCTCTATGGTATTAAGGGGTTAGACTGGATCCAAAAGTCATTAACTACATGCTCTTGAGAATCAATCTCACCAACAGTTTGCGGTTGGTTTTTTAGCATACCTAACCTGAAAACCTACAGTTGTTTGTCTTTAGAGAAATCCCTTTAGCATATGAAGGGACTACAGACTTAATGGTAGAAACTGAATTTGTAACCAAAACAGCGCACGTCATAAAAGGAATTGCTAATCTCATTGTACCAAGGCACATAGCTTCACTCATACGAAAGAATTATTTACGACTTATACGGAAATCCCTGTTTTAAGCTATCAATCTAAACACAGATACTGCCTACGCAGAACCGATAGGTAACGTTACAAAGCATTACTTATATTTGGCCGGATGATAATGCTAATAACGGCCTTGGGAAGCCATGAATTGTTTATTTCTATCCTTTAAAAAAAGGACAGTTTGGTGTAATTTGATTACTAGACTCATGGGGAAATATTTAAAGAACCCGTGCATATTACATAACTTTTGGTGACTTGGGTGAGGAAATGCGTGACCATCAGATATTCTGCTGTTTGTGCTCAACTGATAGACTTTGCTTTGATGAGTACTGATAACTCAGGTAACTAAAAATTATTTAACATAAACAATTTCTTAGTGAAGATATCCCTGTTAATAAAGATGTCATGCTTATTTTACCTTTGACAAATTATTATTGTAAATAAATATTAAAATAAATTCTTCATTGTTTGAAAACTATGGTCAACGCTAGTGTTAAATTTCTTGTGGCAGTGAAAACGAATTTCTACGCCAAAGGGAAACAAGTGAATTTAGACATAAATTAGACGACCTGGCACGAATTTAGGCGAGAAGTAAACTATTTGGCTATTAAGGGTGAGTTAATAGATATTTGGACAAAATGTATCATTATTTCCAGCGCAAATAAGTTGTATTTTAGTAGCAATGTCACCTGATCTCACACCACATTTTCCTGGCTGACATTGCTTGTCACCTTAGAGTGCACCTTTATTTTTCCATTCTTGTTTAATTGGTCCAACCCTATTACCACTAATTAGTGATGTGTAACGAAATATCTCTGCGGTGAGAGAGGGAGATGAAAAGAAGCGAAAAGGACAAAAAAATCCGTTGGAGATTAATTTAGGTCATTCACGTAGTAATATCTTATTCGACTTAATTACCTACTTAGTTTCAGGACCATGCAAAATTCGCACCCAGTTTATAAACACCGCATTTTTATCATTTTCCAGTTTGCGTTTCCAATATTCAATATCATTTTTACGAGCTAGTGTAGACCAATTGATTTATTTGCTCTCGATTCTTGTCCTTTCGGAACGGTTACAGGTGTTTAGTAGTGTCCAATGAATGATGGTTTAGCCATTCGACTGTCTGATTCTAGCTAGTTGGAAGTTGCTTGTGAGTTTGTATGTCTCGTGATTTCAATGAATACGTTTGTTTCAGGGCAGTAGGGTTTCTGGATATCAGCAGCTTTCACAATACCAAACTGAAGACCAGTTAAATGCAATGTAGATGATAATAAGAAGGAAATTCTAATGCTAATAAGGTTTCAGAACTAGGTAATATATAGATATTTGAAATCATCAATCAGTCATTGTTAGACCACCGTTAGAAAACTGGGAGCACTGGACGGCCGTTTCGTCCTGATACGGGACTCATCAGCAGTGCGCATCCACGAATCCTGCACCTCTCAGGATTCGAATCCGGGACCTTCGGTATGTGTAAAAACACAAAACTCCAAAACTCTAACTGAAAATATATAGATAATTTAGTTTAATAATAGGTAGTGAGGATTGTGAGAGGACCTTAGTGTAAGCAGTGGACAGGAAACAGAGATAATAGGCGGGATAGAATCATATAGTGACCTGAGGAGATGACAATGATAACAACTATCAGGTCTCAAGGTATGCACAATGCACAGTTTGTCCAAGAGGGAGAGTATAATCTGGTTGTGATAAAGTCTCCCCTTAAAGCTGTCCACTGAAGCGGTCTGTGGTCACCTCGGCTGGAAGAGCATCACAAGTTGCATGGACACCTGATGAGGAATTTTTGGACGATTACCTCAAGAGGCGTGGAAGTGATGCATGGGTATTATGCCGACGTCGGGATGATTTGTCTCGCTTCATATGTTTAATGATGCAATCAGATCACCTCTGCTAAGGGTGCAAATTTATTTATTATATATCATTTGTGTCGTGATAAACTACATTTATTAGTTCATCGGTATTGTTTGCGGTAAAGCATTTAGTCCAGTTAATGCTTCTGAGGCGATTCCGGATGTTTGCCCAATCGATCCAACGAAAGTCTCAACGAAGTGTAGTGGATTTACGTTCTATAGCTGTGGTTCTTATATTAAGGCTGCATATGACGATATTA